AACCAATGTATTTTAAAACTTTTTATTTTTATAATGCTTGTAATAATATATAATCACAAATATAAAAGTTATGTTAAATAATAATTAAATTCTTATAATATTTTTTGAATATTTCTACAATATGCTTTATTTCTCTTTACACAATGTACAATATGCTTTTTTACGTCTTACATAATATGAATTTGCAAATACATATATAATATATTTTAAGTATATATTTTTTTAATTTATTGCAAATTAAACTGAAATAGTTTTTACTATTTTTACTTATTCCTAAGAGCAGATAGATGGTTGGCACGCATGTGCGGACATACCAACCACTTCACTACACTTAAAATAGATAAAGATTTTTAAAAAATATATAAATTGTATAATAATTAAAATAAACATTAGACTGTAATCAATCTTAACAAAATACATGTGCAAAAAGGTTTGCATGTGACTTCAACTAATGTACAATTAATATTTATGTATGTACGCGTATTTATAAAAAAAATTGAAATATGACTCTTACGTGTTAAAATTTTTTAAGTGACTTTGTAAAACAAAGGGCGAGAGATTTATTTTTATATACTTCTATTTTTTATTTCTTATTCATATTGTTTCATCTTATTATAATTTATTCTTTCGTTCGGTTATTTTTTAATTCATTTATGATCTTAAAATTTGATATACAATAAAAATAAATTTATGTATATATATTAATATGATATAAAATTTATTTTTATTTAAAATATGATAAGAGATAAGATGAGATGGTAACATAAGTTATGTAAATTTTAGAAAACAACAATAAAAAGATGATAAAAGTTATAGAAAAATATATGGTCCTATTAATATTATAAAATAATAATTAGTATATACTTTATTCATTTAGTAAATATTGGTTTGAAAAGAAAAATTATTTAAAATTACGTTTTTTTTTAAAAAAGTTATTTTTTTTTTATTATTTTAACATTTCATTCTTTAAATTATTTTTTATCATGATTGTATTTTATTTAAAATTGTTTTATTTAATAATTTGTTTATTTAAAACTTGAGATGTTATTAATAGATTTTGTAAATTAATAACTTTCCAAAATAAAAATTTATCATACTTAAAATATTATTAATAAATATAATTTTTACTATTCTATTGGATAATTTAATATTATTTTTTTGTTTTTATATAAAATTATAAAATATATATATTGTTGAAAAAATTCGTAATTATATTTTATGAAATTATTAATATATAAAAAAAAATTATAATAGCTTTTATTTTCTGTTAATTTAAATTTGTTAATTTTAGTGTTATGAATATAATTTAGTTTATTTATGTTTTAATTTCATAATTTCTATAATTTTAATTCAACCAATCAAAATATTTCGTTTATTTTAGAAAGTTTGACATGTCACATTTACATGTCATCAATTAATAACACTAACTTTAGTTGTAGTATTAACAAGTCATCTATTTTCAATAATGTTACCTCTCAAATAATATGTAGTGGATCGCTATATGCAACTTATAAAGCAGGTTATTTTCTTTTATCAATCCCAACAAGATTGATGAATATAAAGATAGCATACAATTTGTCTCTGAAGATTATATAAATGTTTTTGCTGTTTTTATGAAATTTGTTTTTGCCGAAAGATAATTTGACACCAGCTTTATATTTTGCGATTGAAAAAGTTTGTTTCTAATTTTGGTTTGCCTTATCAGATGATCAATGTATGTATCAACAACTCTATGAAACTGATATGCAAAAGAGAATGACTTTTTTGTAGATGTAATTAATTTTGGGTATAATTTTTGAAATGACTCAATTGACAATTTTATTACGAAACATGATTCTTCCTAACATGGATCCACTAGTGTGTTTTTAATTTATCGTTAGTTTGCTAGTAATTTGCATTTATTCTGTCATTAGTCTACCAATAGTCTATATTCAATTATAAGAACAATCAGTCTGTCAATAGTCTATATTAAGTCTGTCATTAAACTACAAGTGAAAATAGTTAGAAAGGTAATACTAGTATTTTAAAAAACTGTAAAATAAGAATTATTTTTCACAATTTTCCCTGAATGGAGTATCCGTTTCACATTATTTTCTCATTATGAGTTATGTTGGAGCATTACCTCTTAATTTAGAGCTAATTTGTACACATACATATTAATTAACTAAATAATATTAATGAAAATGTAGTAATAAACTCCAATTATAAATTCATTCAAATATATAGGTGTTAATCTAAATTATTTCATTTTAACAGCTTAATTAATTGCTCCAGTTCGTACTGGTACTTGATATCTTCCTTTGATTCAAAAATTAAAATCAGTTACGTGTAAAGATCATGATAATAATTTTTTTAGTATCGATCAATACACAACATTATAAACATGTCTTGAAGAGCGATCTTAGCATTCGTGACTTCATAAACAGAACGTTTGTTTATATAAACTGGCATAACAAAGATATGATCACCCATTTGAAATTACAAATAGGGCTTCCAACGTACATAACTCTTTTAATTATTTTTTTTTTTACACATTTTCAGTCTATCAAATACTAATTGAAAGATAATAAGAGATATGGTTTAAAGAGGGCTAGTCCCGAGCATAAGCAAACGAAACATTAGCTTTGGTCATAGATTGTATGATGTTTTAGATGTTTCACAGATATTAAAAAAATAATAATTATTTATTTTTATAAATATTTTTTATTTGTTTATTATTTTTATATTATTTTACCTAAAAAGTTGTTTTGAAAAAAATATTAAGTATAATGCAGAAAATTAATCTTTTTGGAACAAAATAAAAGCTCAAAACATCATACAATATGGAACAGGGAGAGTATAGATTATTTGATTCCCAAATCATCTCAAACAATAAAATGTATGGATTATTTAGTATTCAACCCGTAATTTTTTCACATCCTACATATTTTATGCCGGCCCTGGTTCAAACACATTTGCCAGCTAAAGGTTCTCAAATCATAACATGACCCACTTAAAATAATCTTATTAGCTTTCGTGACTTCAGAAACTAAACATTTCTTTATTAAAGCTGGATCATAACAAAGATTTTATCACCCACTTAAAATTACAAGTGGTGCAACGTGCATGCCTCTTTTGATTATATTTGAATACATTTCAGTCTAGCTATATCAAATACTGATTGAAAGATAATAAGAAATGTGGTTCAACACATATTTTCTAGCTAAAACATATACGACGCTACACATGGGAATTATTCGCAATCATTCTAAGGCATGTGCATCAAGTCTAATTTAAGTTTTGTCTTTTTCCGTGAAGTTTAAATCGGGATTAATAAATTTATGAATGAGCACTCCTTTTTACCCCTTCTCATTTGATGAGTATATAAGATCTATAATAGTTACAGGATCTAATTAATCACCTAACATAATAATGTAATTTTTCGAAAACAACCATATTTCCTCAAGTATCAAAGTATATTTTTTTTTGTTTGCAAAGTATAACCAGAGTGATTCGTGTATCAATTTAATACATTAGATATGTCAAATTAATTATTTTTAAAGTATTTATTTTTAATCATTTTCAAAATATAATTTTTTTTAATTGATAGGAAATAATTACTGACAGATTTCTAATGGATCAAATAAATTTTCTGAGGTATTCTCACGACTAAATTCTATCAAAAGCATGAGTTTTTTAATTTGTTGAAAATTGGCAAAAACTTTTGACAAAATTTAACCATCAAATATATAATAAAATTTTATTTGATTCATCAAAAAATTGACAAATTTTTAATCGATTAAAAAATATATAAATTTTTTTTAGCAAAAACAAATCTACCAAAAGTTTTCATTGATTTCTGACAAACTTAAAATATCATTAGATATCGATTGTAAAATCATCAGAAAAATTTCGATGAAAGTATTACTTGAATTATTTATCAAAGTTTGGCATATTTTTTTTGTAGTTATTGCCCTTTAAATTTCATACATAAATTCTGGAACATTAAACAAAACGCATGATCATATAATTTTCAAAAATAACGAGAACTTATTTTAAAGTATCAAAGTATATACATATTATTTTTTTGTGAAGTTAACAAGAGTATAATACATATTTTCAAAATACGATTTTTTTTTGTTATTTGATAGGAAATAATTATTGAGCTTTCTAATGGATCAAATAAGTTACCTAGGTATTCTGACAGCTAACTTCTATCAAAAGCATAGTTTTTTTTTTAAATTTAAATGTTAAAAATTGGCGAAAACTTTTGATATTTAACCATCAAAAATATAATAAAAATTAATTTAATTCATTATATTTTTTTTTGACAAGTTTTCAATTAATTAAAAATAAATATTTAAAACTTTTTAGCAAATCTATCAAAAGGTTTCACTGATTTCCGACAAACTCAAAATATCATTAGATATCGAATGTAAAATCGTCAAAAAAATTTCGATGAAAATATTACTCGAATTATTTATCAAATTTCAGCATATTTTTTTTTGTAGTTATGGCCCTTTAAATTTCTTACATAAAACCTGGAACAATAAAAAAAAAACGCATGATCATGTCACATTATATATATTATTTATTGTTTGATTAAAATATGAACTTCTATTTTATTACTAAAACGATTTCACTAACCACCTCATGTATCATCTATAAAATGATAAAACTAAGCAATTTAAATTATTGACGAAGAAATTTTATTTATGATATTTCCCTAGAATTATTGTTCAGTGATCAACTCATTGATAGAAATATTATCTTCTTCACTAAATAAAAATAAACGAAATGTGCCTTAACCACTAAACACAATAACGATCCTGTCTTACTAAAATATCAGAAACTTTTAATAAACCCTAAAAAGAATTATTAGTGACAGCTTGAATTAACTGTCTTATCCCATATATATACGCAGACCCTCTCTTCATTTTTCTCCACCACTCTCTAAAGCAACACTGCCATCTTAAAACTTCTTGCTCCGAATAGAAGTATATCTTCGAGTTGCGAGAGAGATGGCTTCAAAAACCTCATCCTCCCTTATCCTTTTCCTCACATTCAACATCCTCTTCTTCACACTAACCACCGCGTGTGGCGGTGGCTGCAGCTCAACCCCCAAACCCAAACCAAAACCCAAGCCCACTCCAAGCTGCCCTAGGGACACTCTCCAGCTCGGTGTTTGCGCCAATGTTCTCAAGGATCTTCTCAAAATCCAGCTGGGCAAGCCCCCAGTCAAACCTTGCTGCTCGCTTCTCAAGGGTCTAGTTGATCTTGAGGCTGCAGCTTGTCTATGCACCGCCCTAAAGGCTAATGTTTTAGGCATTAAGCTTAATGTTCCCGTCTCCCTCACCCTTCTCCTCAATGTTTGTGGCAGGAAGACCCCTTCTGGATTCATTTGTGCTTGATCTACTTATCCATGCTTTGATTGGATTAAAGTTTAATCGCTCTTTTTAATGTTTTTCTCCCTTTATCATGATTCTTTGAATTTTCCTATTTCGTTCAGTTTTTAATCGAATAAGTGTTTCTTTTACAGTATCCATTTTAAATCGATATGTTCATTCATAATTTAAAGTGGATTTGTTACGATCCACGTGATTTATAAATTATCAATATCAGTACAACGTGGAAAATGTTACGATCCCTAATCTTAAATAGCCATCATCTATCGAAGGGAACTGGTACGATCCACAATACTAATGATTGAAAAAATTAAAATCTACGATACTAATGGTTTAAATCCCATAATAACAAAATTATACTCTATCAAACAATAATAATATCTGTAAGAAAATAAAAAGGAAATCGAATAGTTGTACATTTTAGTATGGAAGATATCTTAATAAATAAATTATTCAACATGTCTCAAATTCGTTGACTTCATAACAACAGAAGTTAATTAACAACGACAAATATCATAATTTTAGATAAACACAAAATCCATGTCTCGTATGCTCTCAGATTGATCGCACTAATCGAGACACTCTTTTAACTCGGCGCTCCCGCAAGGAATGGATTATTATCCTCTGGTTCTCATATATAGTTGCTAACTCTACATTCACTAGCTCCTACATAGTCTTTTTACGTTTTACTATTTATAAGAAAAGAATGACGAAAAACATTTGCGCTTATAGAGAACATAGTTTTGGTCAACGTTCGTCGTCAGTTTTTTTTTTTTTGTAATAGTAAAATGTTTTTGGTAACATGGGTTTAATTACATACAGCTTTTAGCATAGAATCTGCATTCACTAGCTCCGATATTGTTTTTGTTTTGTGCTTGTGATATGTACTACTGGAGAAAAGAAGATATTGTAACATACACTCAAATACTATTTAAGAACGTAACAAACAAGAACTTCTACAGTAAACGTCTACCAAATAGAGATAAGACTAACGAGAAAAGTTTAAGATTTTATAAGCCTCCTTCGATCTGTTCCTAGTGACCGCCTTTACTCGATTTTCGGTTGAGCCTTTCGTACTGATACTTGATATCCCCCTTTGATTCAAAGATTAAAATCAGTTACACGCGTGTTAAAGATCATGATAGTGATTTATTAGTACCAATACATGAAATAAAAAAATAAACATGTCATGAGGTAAAGCCAAAAGTTTTCAAATCATAAAATGACCAAGAGGGATATATCTTAGCTTTTGTGACTTCATATACTGAACATTTCTTCATATAAACTGGATCATAACAATGATTTTATCACCCACGTAAAATTACAAGTGGTGCGACGTGCATGCCTCTTCTGATTATATTTCAACACATTTCAGTCTAACTATATCAAATAATAATCGAGATCATAAGAAATGTGGTTCAAACACATTTGCCAGTTAAAATAAATACGAGGCGACACATGGGAATTATTCGCAATTATTCTAGACATGTGCATCAACTCTAATATAAGTTCAAGGACTTGCTGGAAAAAAAAAAAAAAACTCTAGTTTAAGTTTTGTCTTTTTCCGCGTCCCTTATCCTTTTCCTCACATTCAACATCATCTTCTTCACACTCACCACCGCGTGTGGCGGTGTATAACGACCCAAGCCCACCGAAATTGAGAAAAGCTCAACAAAAACTGCCAGCCTAGCATGGTCCAAACCTAATAAACTCCACGTTGCCTTTTTCTTCCTTCATCTTCAGAAAGCCGCAACGAGATGTGACGAGTCCCATACCCTGAAAATCACGCTGAACCGCTGCCCAAATCACACCAGAGCTGCCGCCACTGTCTCTGACCAAGCCGGAGCTTCTGCATATGTTTCCATAAGCGTGAGGAGAAGTGTGTGTGAGTCAACACCGAGCCGCCGTGTTCTCGATTACGCTGTGCCGTTTACCGTCGCCAGCGATCTGATGCTCCAAGTCACTGCCATCATCCGTGAATTGTTTCTGTGGTAAGAGATCCGAGTTTCTTTCGAGTTATTCCATCATCTCCGTTGCACCCACTTTTTCCGAGAATGTTGAATTAATGATCTGCCATTGTTGTAGTTACTTAAGCTCCAAGCTTCGTCCGTTCTGCTTATTTTCTGTTGTTGGTGTTGCTACGTCATTGTCCGTAGTAAGCAAAAGCTATGCCTTCCTTCTGTCATCCGTTTTCTGAGAGTTCATGTGATCATGACTTGTTATGTTGCCGTCTCTTGTGTTGCTTCAGCTGCAAGCTTTCTCTTCTCCATTGTTGGTTACGATTGGTGTGTAGTGTTTAGCATTCAATTGGTAAGCAAGATCTCTTCTGTTGTTGTCACGTTAACCATATTATGGGAATGCATAAATGTAACATGTGGGCTATTGTCTCCAATGGTTGCTTCAGACTTAAGTAAACGTTATTAAGTTGAGATCACTTTTGCCATGTGCCATTCCCATCAGTTCAACCGAAAATCAAAGGTGAGGGTGGGATTCATGGATTCTTAAAGCTTCTAGTTTGTAGATTTAATATTCGTAAATGTTAGGTTTAAAGAATTGTTTATTGATTGTGGTGATTGAAAAAATGATGTTAAATGATTGTTATGAGTTTAGATAATGAAATGTTAAGTCGATATGATGTGTGGTGCAGAGTATATATTATACTTTGGTGAAGTTGGACTGAGAGCGAGGACATGGCAATCCCGTTTAAGTCTGTACTTCAGTGCAGTCGGACTGAGAATAAGGACATAGGGATTCCATTAAAGCCGTTAACCGGCTGACGAGCCAAAGGGTGGTGGAAGACCTTTCGAGGTGCCCGACCAGCCCAGTGTCATGATAATTTATATTGAGTTATTGGTGGCGGAAAACCTTTCGAAGTGTCCGACAGTCGGGATGTCATGTGATTTGTGTTAAGTTGTTATATGATTAGTATATTGTTAGTTAGTCGTGACTGGAAGTTCTGTTGATTGATGTTTACTCTAGAGTTAGTATTGCGTGTGCTATTGAATAGTAGGGTTGGGAATCGTGTGGGCGGAAATGATCTTCTTGACTGAGTGACTTTGTTACTCACCCCTCTCCATTTCTCCTTTTTAGTGTGTGCAGGTGTGTTTCTTGTAAAGAAAGTTAGGGTGCGAGACCTAGGACACAAAAGTGACAGGAATGGATGTTACAATTTAGTATTAGAGCCTAGGTTAGCCAAGCCGGTTCTGACCCGGAAGGCTGGTCCTAGTAAAAAAAAAATATTTTCAAAGCTATTTTTAATATAAATGTTTCCGGAAACGTTTAAAATGATTTGGGAAAGGTTTTCATGGGAAATGATTTTTAGTGTATAAGGTCTCGTGCTAGTGTTGTGTTGTTTGGTGGCAAGTCTTAAGTTGATTGAATTGTTGGAATTTAAGTGCTAAGTTGTTTTATGCAAAAAGGGGTTTGTGTTGTGTCCGGTCAGAAGAGGGTAGCACTACACTATGTTCAATAGTGAATCCACACCTAGTTGTGAGGTTTGGATTGACAAAGTGTTGAGCTTCAAGAAGCGTGTTGTTAAGAAGTCAAAGAAGAATTGGAGCCTCGCTGGCAACAATAGTGAAATCTTGAAGAAAGGTCGAGAAGATGATCGTTTCAACTAAAAATTGGTGGTGCTCAAGAACTGTGTGGAAATAAGGATTAGTCGGCTACAATTATACTAGTGGTGTCAGGATAAGTGGACGTATCGAATCACTAAAAAGACCACCACCGACTAGAGAGAACGCTTTTACTATAGACTTGAAGCCCGGGATAGCACATGTATCTTGAGTGCCTTACCGTCTATCATCCGTATAGATGGCGGAGTTGAAAAAGAAATTATAGGAGTTAACGGATAAAGAGTTTATTCGTCCGAGTAGTTCACTGTGGGGTGCACCAGTTCTGTTTGTCAAAAAAAAAGGACGGAAGTTTTCGACTGTATCGACTATCGTGGTTTTAACAAAATGACCATTAAGAACAAGTATCCACTGCCGCGGATTGACGAGTTGTTAGACCAGTTACAAGGAGCATCGTTGGTCTCGAAGATTAATTTAGCATCAAGGTACCATCAGATTTCGATTGCTGAAGAGTATGTTTGGAAAATGGCTTTTCGAACATGGTATGAACACTACGAGTTTGTAGTAATGCTGTTTGGTTTGACTAACGCGCCAGCAGCTTTTATGAAGCTGATGAACAGCTCGTTTCGAGAGTACTTTGATATGTGCGTGATTGTTTTCATCGACGACATTCTGGTGTACTCGAAGAGTAAGAAAGAGCATGACGGGCATCTGCGAGTGGTGCTGAATAAGCTGATAGAGCAAAAGTTGTATGCATAGTTGAGCAAATGTAGTTTCTGGAAAAGAGAGATCAGATTTTTGGGACATGTAGTTTCGGAGGCCGGAGTGGCTGTAGATCCCGAAAAGAATATCTCGATCTCCTCTTGGCCGACGCCTAAGAGTGCCACGGAGGTCCAAAGTTTCTTGGCTTGGCGGGTTATTATCAAAAGTTTGTAAAAGGGTTTGTCAGCCTAGCAAAACCAATGACGCGTCTGACTGGTAAAGACGTGAAGTTTGAGTGGTCAGAGTCATATTCAAAAAAATTCGAGAAGTTAAAGGAACATTTAACAGAGACGCCCATATTAGTGTTACCCAAAGCGGGAGTACCGTATGTGGTTTACACTGATGTATCAGGATCAGGGCTAGGATGTATATTTATACAGGAATACCGAGTTATAGCATACGCTTCTAGCCAGCTACGTAAGCATGAAATGAATTACCCGACTCATGATTTGGAGCTAGCAGCAGTTGTTTTTGCTCTTAAGATTTGGCGCGCCTATTTGTATGGAGAGAAGGTACAGATAATGACGGACCACAAAAGCTTGAAGTATATTTTCACCCAAGGGGATCTGAATTTAAGGCAGTGCAGATGGATGGAGTTATTGGCAGATTATAATTTAGAGATCACCTACCATCTAGGAAAAGCCAATCAGGTAGCCGATGCGTTAAGCAGACGGAGAGGCAATGCCTTCAATGTTAAGGATGTACAAGAGCTAGTCGCGACACTGGCAAGTCTGAGCTTATGCGCTACAACAGTAGAAAAGAACACTACGGGATTAGAGGCAGTAAACCAAGCAGACTTATTATGGAGAATTGGAGAGTCGCAGGAAGCGGATATTGATTTACGGAAACTAATAAATAAGGAAGTGCTTGAGTTTCACACTACAGCCAATGGAACATACATGTATAGGAATCGGATATGCGTCTCCGAGGATGAGGAATTAAGGAAGGAGACCTTGCACCAGGCGCACCAGTCATGTTTCTCTCTTCACCCTGGAAACACCAAGATGTATCGCGATTTAAAGCAGTACTACCATTAGGGCGGAATGAAGCGAGATGTTGCTCCTTGGGTATCACAGTGCCAAACATGTTAGTTGGTGAAAGTGGAACACAGAGTCCCTCCGCTACCTGAGTGGAAATGGGATATGGTTACAATGGACTTTGTTACAGAACTACCAAAGACCAGCGGTGGTAAAAATGCGACTTGGGTGATTGTAGATCGACTAACCAAGTCGGCTCATTTTCTAGCAATTAAGAAAACAGATGGAGCAGATCAACTGGCTCAGAAATATTTGGATGTAATTGTAAGATTACATGGAGTGCCAGTAAGCATCGTGTCTGACAGAGACTCTAAGTTCACATCGATATTCTGGCAGGCATCTCAATAGTACGCCTCAGTATGGCTTATCATTCCCAGACTAATGGACAGTCAGAAAGGAAAATTCAGACATTGGAGGATATGTTGAGAGCATATGAACTAGACTGGGAAGGAAAGTGGGGAAAATATCTACCGTTAGCTGAGTTCGCCTACAACAACAGCTAGCATTGAAATGTCCCCTTATGAGGCTCCGTATGGGATACCGTGTCGTACACCCTTTTGTTGGACTGAAGTGGGAGAGCGCCGAGACTTAGAACCGGAAATGGTTCGAGAGACAGTCAAGCAAGTGGAATTGCTCCAGAATAGACTTAAAGAGGTGCACAACCGTCAGAAAAGTTATGCAGATAAGCATAGAAAGGATCTGGAATTTGTAGTGGGCGATGAAGTGTATTTGAAAATAAGAACATTTAGAGGGAATGACAAGACTCGAAAGTCGAAAAAGCTTAAGCCAAGATATATGGAACCGTATTCTATAACAGAAAGAATTGGTGCAGTGGCTTATCGGTTAGAGTTAACGCAGGAGCTGTCAGATTTCCATAACGTGTTTCATGTTTCGGTTCTGAGAAAAGTTGTCAGAGAGCCAGGGTTAATTCTTCCGCACCCGCCTACAGATTTCACTGGTAGTCTTTCGGTACAAAGCAGTCTGGTTGAAATTTTAGATTGACAAGAAACCCGGGTTCAGAGTAAAACAGTAGGTCAATGAAATTTTGTTGGGAAAGAGATAGTATTCGCGAGGAGACGTGGGAATCAGAATCAGAAATGCAAGTTAACTATCCCAAGTTCTTTAAGGACAAGAGCAGACATACGGGAAATGAATCGAATTCAGGGACGAATTCTTCTAAGGCGGGGGAGAATTGTAACGACCCAAACCAACCGAAATTGGGAAAAGCTCAACAAAAACTATCAGCCTAGAATGGCTCAAACCTAATAAACCCCACGTTGCCTTCTTCTTCCTTCATCTTCAGAAAGCCGCAACGAGGCGTGACAAGTCCCAGACCCTGTAAATCATGCCGAACTGCTGCCCAGATCACATCAGAGCTGCCACCACTGTCTCTAACTAAGTTGGAGCTTCTGCACCTATTTCCGTAAGCGTGAGGAGAAGCGTGCGTGAGTCAACACCGAGCCGCCGTGTTCTCGATTATGCTGCCGTCGTTTACTGTCGCTGGCGATCTGCTGCCCCAAGTCACTGCCATCATCCGTGAACCGTTTATGTGGTAAGAGATCCAAGTTTCTTTCGAGTTATTCCATCGCCTCCGTTGCACCCATTTTTCCCGAGAATGTTGAATTAGTGATCTACCATTGTTGTAGTTACTTAAGCTCCAAGCTTTGTCCGCTCTGCTTATTTCCTGTTGTTGGTGTTGCTACGTCATTGTCCGTGGTAAGCAAAAGCTATGCCTTCCTTCTGTCATCCGTTTTTGAGAGTTCATATGATCATGACTTGTTATGTTGCCGTCTCTTGTGTTGCTTCAGCCGCAAGCTTTCTATTCTCCATTGTTGTTTACGATGAGTGTGTGGTGTTTAACATTCAATTGGTAAGCAAGATCTCTTATGTTGTTGTCACGTTAATCATATTATGGGAATGCATAAACATAACATGTGGGCTATTGTCTCTAATGGTTGCTTCAGGCCCAAGTAAACGTTGTTAAGTTGAGATCACTTTTGCCATGTGCCATTCCCATCAGTTCAACCGAAAATCAAAGATGAGGGTGGGATCCGTAGATTCTTAAAGCTTCTAGTTATTTAGTATTCGTAAATGCTAGGTTTAGAGAATTGTTTGTTGATTGTGGTGATTGAGAAAATAATGTTAAATGATTGTTATGAGTTTAGATAATGAAATGTTAAAGTTAATATGATGTGTGGTGGAGAGTATATGTTATATTTTGGCAAAGTCAGACTGAGAGTGAGGACATGGCGATCCCGTTTAAGCCTGTACTTCAGTGCAGTCGGACTGAGAATGAGGACATGGTGATCCTATTAAAGCTCGTTAACTAGCTGACGAGCCAAAGGGTGGTGGAAGACCTTTCGAGGTGCTCGACCAGCCCAGTGTCATGATAATTTATATTAAGTTATTGGTGGCGAAAGACCTTTCGAGGTGTCTGACAACCGGGATATCATGTGATTTGTGTTAAGTTGTGATATAATTAGTATATTGTTGGTTAGTCGTGACTGGAAGTTATGTTGATTGATGTTTACTCTAGAGTTAGTATTTGTGTATGCTATTAAATAGTAGGGTTGGGAATCGTATAGGTGGAAATGATTTTCTTTACTGAGTGACTTTGTTACTCACCCTCCTTCCTTTCTCCTTTTTAGTGTGTGCAGATGTGTTTCTTGTAAAGAAAATTAGGATGCGAAACCTAGAACAAACGTGACGGGAACGGATGTTACACAATGGGTACTGCTCAATTCCGAGACCCAAACATAAACTCAAGCCCACTCCAAGCTGCCCTAGAAACACTCTCAAGCTCGCTGTTTGCGCCAATGTTCTCAAGGATCTTATCAAAATCCAGCTGCGCAAGCCTCCAGTCAAAACTTGCTGCTCGGTTCTCAATGGTCGAATTGATCTTGAAGCCGCGGTTTGTCTTTGCACCGCCCTTAAGGCTAATGTTTTGGGCATTAAGCTTAATGTTCCCGTCTCTCTCACCCTTCTTCTCAATGTTTGTGGCAGGAAGACCCCTTCTGGATTCATATGCGCTTGATCTACTTATCCATGCTTTGATTCGATTAAAATTTTAATACTCTTTTGATGTTTTCCTACATGGCTACATTATGATTGTTTGTTAAACTTCCCTCTAATATTAATTTATCATGTTCTCAAATTTTCTGAGATTATATTAACATTAATAGTTTTATTCTACTCTTCTATGTGAGAAGTGCATGTAGATCACAATTAAAATATATAATATGACCTACGCAACGAGTAAATACATAACTCCAAAGACTAGTTAGTGAGATATATCAGTCCATAAAAGAGGAAAAGATGTATATGGCAACAACCCATTACTATTTTTTTATCGAAAGTAATCAGCTTCCCAATTAGTTGCATCACCAACTTGTTTGTTTGCTTTTTTTTTTTTTGGGGAGGTTACTTTTATTTAGAGCGACATAAAAATGATAGAAACAAGACATTTTCTAACTTTAAGAAAATATCCAACAATTTCGAAGTTTCTGAATTACAACGACGGGTCATCGGAATTTGAATAAATGTGCAATAAGGCCATGATACAGCAATGAAATACGAATGCGCAAGTCATTATTTTTTAGATTGCACTGTTTTCAAGATTCTATGTATTTCTACCCAAAAAGCTGTAAATGTCTATAATCGAATTTTGTTTATGTTGTTAACTACAACATTAATAAACGAAAATATTTTATTACTCGAACTACCAGTTATATATATATATATATATATATATATTTGTATTATTATATACAATAATTTTTTATAAATTAATATTTGATATATTAATAATCATTATAAATTAATCATTTTTACTATATAAAGTAGTAAAATTTAATAAAATAAAAAAATAATAATTCTTTTGAACACTTATATAAATAATACTTTTTTGAAAATCCTAATAATCAGATAAATTTATAATTATATATCTAGACATATTGTTGTTATAAGTTTATACATGTTGTTGGACTAATCTTTCAAATTCACTGATATAACATTTTTGAACAAATTGTACAGTGTTTGAAAATATTTTTATATTGTTTTTTATTAACTTAAGAACTCAAACCAAAAAATCTCTTTGTAAATTAATAAATTTTTGAAGTTCTAACGCTACTAATTTATAGAGATTTTTACTGATTGATATATATAATTATCTATGTATATGTATGTTTAGTTCTTGAGTTCTTTCTATTAATCGAACTACCTTATTTGACGGCCAGTTCATTAACTTATAATGTCCACTCATGTATATTTTGGTCTGTAATTACAGTAGTTTCACATGTTGATGTAAGTTTTAAGATAAAAGTTAAGCATGTGTGTAACACATGATAATAAAAATGGCTGAATTCCACCAAATTTCTTACTGGATTAAATCCTCCTAGTAAAGAGTGTTTTCAAGTTGCTAACCTTATCATTTTCATAGATTATTTTCTTAATCAAAATGACCATATGTATCATACAAACCAATCAATACATAACACATGAGACTACAACATATCAACCAATTCGATTCATGCAAGACCATGAAATCGAAAATCGAAAACATTCACGTAAATCAAGGTATAGAAGCTCACACGTAAAATGGCTTACGAATAATCGTGGATGAAATCAACCCGACATTTTGTTGGGTCATGAACTCAGGACGGTGGTGAACTGATGATAGTAACAGCGTTGACAGTTTTACAGTACGAACTGATGATATACATGCATTACAATTACGACGTACTAAATAACTTTCTGACTCTATATTTTATCTACAGAAAGGGGAAAAAGTCAAATATGGTATACTGTATGTTAGATAAGCGCAGAAAAATATCAGATATTTTGTAGAATTATATATTTTATTAGTTACTAAAGTACGTTGGTCTTCTCCACGTCCTTCTAAAACCCTATAAATATCCACACCTTCTCCTCATCTCTCTTCATCTCTCTCTCTCTCTCTCTCTCTCTCTCTCTCTCTCTCTCTCTCATCAACCACACACACTCAATAGCCTTTCCAATTAAAAATGGTTTCGAAGAACTCAGCCTCTCTTGCTCTTTTCTTTGCACTCAACATCCTCTTTTTCACCTTAACCGCTGCAACTGATTATTGTCGCTGCAACCCAAGTCCTAAGCCCACGCATGGCATAGCTCCTTCGTTCCCAAGACCTAGCCCTAGGCCGCTAGTCCCAAGTCCTTACCCTAGGCCGCGAGTCCCAAGTCCTTCCGTTCCAAGTCCTAACCCTAAGCCGCTAGTCCCAAGTCCTAACCCTAGGCCACTGGTCCCAAGCCCTTCGGTTCCAACCCCTTCGGTTCCAAGCCCTTCAATTCCAAGCCCTTCAATTCCAAGCCCTTCGCTCCCGAGCCCTTTGGTCCCAAGTCCTTCCGTCCCAAGTCCCACCACCCCTGGATCATCTGGAAACTGTCCTATAGATACCCTCAGACTTGGTGTATGTACAAACGTCCTAAGTGGTCTACTTAACGTGCAGTTGGGTCAGCCATCAGCCCAACCATGCTGCTCAGTCATCCAAGGTTTGGTTGATCTCGACGCTGCGGTTTGTCTTTGCACTGCTCTTAGGGCTAACGTTCTCGGCATCAACCTTCACGTTCCTATATCTCTCAGCGTTCTTCTCAACGTTTGTAACAAGAACCTTCCTTCCGGATTCCAATGCGCTTGAACGATATCAACTATCCATAAAATGCGCAAACACAATTTCCATTTCAAATATTACAGTTTGAATAAATGTTTCCTTTTCAAAATATTACAGATTGAATAAATTCATGCTCGTTTATTGTTTAATTGAGAATTATATATAAATTGTAAACGCTTTTTCGTGCATGTATGTGTTTGTTGTAACTTTGTTTAGACTATTAAGAGAATTATTTTTCATAATTTCAAATTGGGATTGTCACTAAATACAATATCATACGGTGAGATCATCCTGCGGTTAGGATCGTCGACATTAATTGACATCTTTGCCACAAGTATCAATTTCACAAGGCCCCAAGGCGTGCAATCAGGAAAAAAAAATACAAAAAAAAAAATAAAAGACTGGTTTCGTAGTGAAAAACAGAACACGAGCAGAGAGGATGATATACTTGCGTGAAAAGCAAGCGGCGCAAAAGAAAAAAAAAAGTTATTTTTGGATTTTTGGCTCTGTACCATGACAAACTACTAGAATGGAAAAACTTAACTGCTTGTATTACTTAAACCAATCGAGTTTAATCGATCTTATGTTTATACATGTACAAGAGTTTGAACCTAAAAGGTACAATCCTAACACAAAACAGAAATTTACAACTGTAATCATATATACAGTATTATATCCCAATACAAATGCATGCCTAATATATATGTATATATATCAGTATGAAATATCAGCATGCATATATATATATATATATATATATATAATCATTATTCTATAAATTCAAATTCAACATACTCTACGGAGATGTATTGAAACTGAAATTTTAGAGCACTTTGTGGTTACTTTAAAATTTTATATTATTAAACCAATGATTTCTAAATATCTTACCAAAATTTATGTTATTGAACATGAATTTTTTATAAAACCAATCAAAATCACTTCAACTTCCATGTTATTCAATCAAAAATTTGTAAAAACTAAATCAAATCCACTGTTTTCAGAAATATTTTAAAATGTGTATTTTTAAAAATATTGAGTACTTTTAAATGATTTGATGGAGTTTGTCATTAAAAATATAGAAAATCAAATCTCATTTTTTTAGATAGGATTTTATATAATTTTAATATCAAATCATATCAACTTCCCCAATCCACATAAAATCATCTAAAATTTCATTATAACTTAAATCTTTTCAAATTCTCTAAAATATTAGTTTCAATACACCTACAAGTTAAAAACTTAAAATCAACCAAGACTCTTAAATTGAAATCAAAATTGTAACTCTAAAATTTATTTTAAAAAGCAAACATATGAATGTAAAATCTTAAATGAATTATCATTATAGGAATGTATGTACAAACATGGTTATCAGCTACGTTTAAATTTTAAGAAGTTTAGATTTAGAGTTCATAACCAAGTTTGAAGATAATAATCTATTCAGTACCAAAGCATTGATATATACTAGAAATGTGTTACATTTGCATTTCCAAATATTCAATAAATTAATAATTACTTAACTGTGTATATAATCATTTTATAATAGCTACTTTTAGAGTACAATTTAAATATTTTAAATTTCAGTGCCTTTAAGAAAATAACGCCTTAGTTATAAAAATATCCCAAGAAAAATAGTTTTAGCAAAAACTTTTTGTTTTATATTTAATTTATAATAGTCTTATTATACTGATATGTCATTACCACATTCATTCTCACCACACTTTTAAAAAATGATTTATGTTACTAGACTAAGTACATGAAATACCACTCACATTAATTTGGTCAAAAAATAGTTTTTATCAATTATATATAAAAATTCAGCATTTCTTACCAAAAATATATCAAATAATCTGTTTTTTAAAATACTATATTTCTTCTCTTATTTATGTTTAAAATTAAATTATTTTTAAAAAAATAATTACATGATTCATACAGTAAAACAAATATATATTTTTTTGTAAATCTGTTATAACATAAATTTTTGAAAACACGTATAAATTACTGAAATAATAAATAAATATGAGTATGTTTTAAAAGTACCACACTGAAAATGAAGAATTGTAGATTGCGTAAAAATAACATAAATAATAAAACAAAATGTAAAAACAGAAATCTAAATTTAGAATACATAATTATTTATAAGTATTTATTAGTTTAATATAGAGTTTTAATAGAACCATATAGTAAACGAACCAAAGAATATAAATATTTAAACTTGATAAAATAAATAAAAACATTATATGAAACTATCGATATGTATATTATTAATAATTTAATGTGTTAAAATTGTTGATATTATAAATATTTTTTAATTAAAAATTAAAAATTATAAGTTTTAAATCTAAGCAAAAAATAACTTGGTAAAAAATTTTAATATTATTTTGTTAAGATATTATAATATGATCAATTTTTGATATTGTAAATATTTTGACTAAAAACATAAAAGTTTATATATATTGACTCAGTTATATATACTTTTATGTAATTGATTAACAATATTAAACTTAAAAAATTATAATACATTTAATATTTTAAATTAAAATTAAAATTTTTAATGTTTTAAATATTAATATTTTTATGATCGTGATCTTTTAAGGTTAGCGTAAGTAATTACATTCATATAAAAATAGTATGAAATTGATATAAAATATTACAAAAAAATATTATTATTATTCATATATATTATTAACATACATAAAAAGTAACTAAATATTTTTTGCTTAAAACATTTTAAAATCATATTTAATAAAATTGTTTATAGATTTTTTATCCTGCTTATGGTGCCGGTTATTATCTAATATACTGTTACTAGATTAGGACTCCTATATACATATGGGTTTGAAAATTATTTTAGAATTTATAAATAATAAATTGAAATTAAAAATAAGTGGCTTTAATTATATTTATTTATGTATTCATATTCGACTTTTTGTTAGTTAAAATATTTCTTACATGTGGTAAATTTAGATTAATTGAGTCACATACATTTCAGTTATTTTAACTTAGACGTGATCCCTATATACACTGATTTATATTAATTGTTACATAACCCGTTAAAAAGAAATTGAATATAAAAAAAGTAAAAACAAAATTGGATCATTACATCAAAAATAAGACTGAGAACATTTTCGCAAAATTACTTATAAAAAAATTGAATGAAGAAACTGACTTTCTCCTTTGTTCTATGTTTACTTTTATATTTTTCACAAATATGAAAATATGAAAAAGTAAAAAACAAATAGATCATTATGAACATTAAAAAAGTATGATTGTTAAAAATTTCGTAAAACCACTTATAATAAAAGTGATTAAATAAATTGGCTTTCTCTTTTATTTTATGTTTACTTTTATATTTTTCACAAATATAAATGAACATAAAAAGTATAAAACAAAATTAGATCACTATGAACATAAAAATATAAGATTGAGAATATTTTCGCAAAACCACTTCTAATAAAACTGATTAAAGAAATAGGCTTTCTCTTTTATTTTGTATTTACTTTTATATTTTTCACAAATATAATTTTTCTCTAACAAACCCTCATTGAGAATCTTATTTAGTAAAATGGTATCAGAGCAAATTTGGTTTTCTTCTTCAATTTGCTTCCGCAATTCTGATTATTATTTTTTACTTCATTAGTTTTTCATTTTATCCAATTGATTCGAGTTTTAGAGAAGAATCAGCCTAAAAAAATTATAAATATTTTTATGTATTTATAAAAATGTGAGTAATAATTTTTTTTTATTTTAAGATGAGTCTTTACTTTTTTTTAAAAAAAAACTGATTTTCCTTTTTTAGTTGAAATACATTAGTAGTTATATTTTATTTTTTTATTTTTCAATAATTATGATATTTCCTAAATTTATATTTTATTTTTAATTTAATCGCGAGATGTATCAAAATTTTAATCGAAATATTTGATGTGTCACGATCATGTGGGTTACTAACATATAAAATTTGCTATATATTTCAAAGAAAAATTAGCTTTCTCCTTTATTTTCTTATGCAATACTAATTGTTTTTCATTGATTCATGAGTTTCTCATCTTATTCGTTTGATTCGTGTCTAAGAGAAAAATCTGCTTTGTAAAATTATAAGAGATTTTATATGTTTATAAAAATGTGAGTAATATTTTCCTTTTTTTAGGATTAATTTTTACTTTTTTTGAAAAAAAATTATTTTTTTTAATTGAAATATATATATATATATATTGTAGTAGTTATATATTTTTTTAACAATAGTGATATTTCCTAAATTTATATTTATTTTTAATTTAATTGTAACATATGTCAAAATCTGATTGATTGACTCGTTAGATGTCGCAATCATGTGAATTACTAACTTTGAACAATCCAACTTTATATGATAAGATATATAAATAAAATCAGTTCAAAACCTGAGAACATCAATTGCCACTTGACATATAGTTGAATTTTAATTATCAAAAAGTATAGAATAGCTGCGATATATCCAACCTTGTATTTTGTGTATGATTATCAGTATCACCGTGTATATTTTCCTTGTTCCTCGCTTCTCTTTATGAAAATCCAAACATTTATTAATTGAAATTTAATCATTATTTTTGTCCTAGCAAAGCTGGAAATATGATATTTTCTTTAGGACAAAAACTTATTATTGACTTTAAGAAACACTAAACCCAACTTTTTTCGAAGAATCAACTGCATGTTTTCTTTTGCGTTTCTCTAAATATGAGTGTATTCACATCGTAGCTTCATGTTTGAGTTATGCCAAAAATCTAGGTTATATGTGAACATAGTCTCTCAAACTTAGTTGGTTTCTTTTTGTTTTTTTGTTTTTTTAGTCAAACACTTAGTTGGTTTCTTATGTATATAATAGTATAGGCTAAATAATACTCCTTCTGCTTTTTTATATATGATCTTTTAGAGGTTTTTTTTATTCCAAAATATTCAATATTCACATATATTTATGCAAAATTAATTGTATTTTTATTGTTTAAACTGTTTGAGTTGTTGCCAAAAAAAAAACTATTTGAGTTATGCATGTCATATTTTATTGGTTGAACTGTGTTGAAATTGATAATAAACCATTTCTTATTTTGAAAATAATGATTTCAGAATTTGTGTGTTAGAACCTTAAACATTATATATAAAATGGAGCGAGTATAGATTTATCAGGAAAAAACATTTATCTAGAAATCAATTCAACTTGGTCAAAAATAGGTGTCAATTTGGAAATGGCAAAAAATGATTATTGTTGAATTTCTTCTTATGTAAATTGTAGTAAAACAAAGTAAATATTTCATTTTATAAAATTTTATCCTTTACTTATAAGTAATTGGACTTTTGTAACATTTTATTATGCACGTCTGTCTAATTTTATAAAATAGATTCCTAATAAAAAAAAAAATAAAAGACTATATATTTTAGTAACTAGACTTCATATAAAAAAAATATTGTAACAAGAATTATCTCGGCAAGAAATGGTAAAATATTGTCCGAAACTTAGACCATGATTGATAATCTTGCGTAATGGCGGAATCTCGTTTCAAAGGCAATTCCGCAAAAATTTTGCCAATCAAAATTTTTTCTGGAAAAATACAAAAATGTGAGATCTGTGAAATCACATTTTTGCTCATAAAAAATGCAATAAATTTTCATTAAGCGGAAAAGTATATTTTACATAGATTATTTGCAAAATCAATATTTTATATTATTTAATTATATAACTAATTATATTTTATTATTTAAATAAATAATTTTGTATCACAAAATTTTATTTGATGATAAAATTATGTAAATTAATTCAGTTTTTGAAATATTTTTAGATTTTTATATATTTTTATTTTGAAAAACAAATTAAAATTTTCTAATTATATTAAATTATGTTATTTTATAATTATTAATTTAATTATTAATATTTTAATAATTATGATACCAAATGATATTTAAAATATGTTTTTAAATAATTAAATTCCATCATTCCGTTATTCTGCATAATTTATCCAATCATATTAAAAAAATGTGTTCTGCAGTTCTGTAATTAGTTATTTTGTAACTTTTTTATGCCATTCTGCAATTCTGCAATAAAAATAAAATGTGCTACCAATAGGAACCAACCAGAAATGTTTTGATTGCCCTCATTACTAGTTTCTATATTTTGTTTATGAAGTTTTGTTTTCGACATACTTTATCATTTTATGGTATCAATTTAGGAATGACAACAAAATATTTAGCTACACAAGAAAGAATGGGAATTTTCAAATATTCTAGGGTCTGTTTTTATATATTTATTAAAATTAGTTATGTATATATCTAACATTATTTTGATTAGAAAAATAAATCTCTACTTATATTGTTCTCTAAGCATTTCACATATATATATATATGTATGTATATATATACGTATAACTTCTGTAGTTTCAACTATCAAATGCAATAAAAAAATAATTCAAATCGTTTAAATTTTATGCATAGAGAACATCATAAGGCCTCTTCTCTTTGAAGTTCTAGAATATATCTCACAATGAAATAATCCAATCTTCTTTGTGTGCCAATTTGTTTTTGTGTTTCTTTTAAGACATGCACAATATAAAATTAATAGTTCCTACTTCAATTCCTAAGTCTCACTTTCGTTTCTCTTCGTCTACGATTAACATGAAAATGTGTGAGTGAAATAACACAGTCGTCGTCGGGTTGACTTTAATTGGAACTACTACTAATCAGTAGAACATAGATTTCCATATCCTCAAAAACTTCCAAATCTCTATAAACATGTATACGTTTACGTAAATCGATCCGTTTGCCACAACAAAAATTATGTATATTGTATCATTTATTTCATTTGTTAATATTTTCTCTGTTTTTTTAATAAGATTTTTGAACAGTTTATTTTGTTTGAAATTAGATTATATTTTCAAAAAACCTATGTAAAAATTGATGATAAATAATTTTTTACTCGTATATTAATTTATAAATTAAAAATTTTAAAATAATATATAGGGTTATAATGGTTATTGTACAATATTTCTTAATTTGTGTGTATCTTCCTAAAACATCTTATAAATAAAAATGGATGGAGTATTATTTTTTTATTGATTCAAATTCAGTTGTACCATTTAATTAAATAATTCTGGAAGTGGTGACTCTAATCATTTATATCAATATTTTTGACTGATGCAACTATTTTTATTATTTTTATTAATTTATATTAATACTCCCTTCGTTTTTCTTTATAAGATGTTTTAGAATTTTTTTTGTTCATAATTAGATGATGTTTTCAGAAATCAATACAAAAATTAATTATTTTATTCTATATATTATTTTTCTATTGGTTAAATTGCATTAGAATTAATGTTTTATTTTGGAAAAAGAGAAAATTAAATAACTTTTTAATCTCTGTGTAAAACCTTAAACATCATATATAAAAAACGGAAGGACTATATATCACTTGTAATTAATAATATTAACAATTATATCACTTAATATAATTGAAGTAAATATTTGCATTGGTTAATATTAATGATGTTACTATTTGTCTTTATTATAACAACTGATATTACGTATATATCATATAATTTATTTGATACTATTATTATATAAATTCATGTAGATTTTAAATTTTGTGTTAATTTTATAATATTGTCAATTTAAGATAAATAATCATTTTGTATTTAATATTCTGAGAAATATATTTAAATATGTATCTATGATCTAACATTAAAAAACAAAAATCTTTGTGTTGATGAATCGTTTTTTATAGGGAAGCAAACTAATATTCTTCATCTTTTTTAGTGATATGAGACAAATATTTTTTAATCAAAATTCTGTCTGCATCACTCTATATAAAATAAATTTAGCATCATTGATTATTGACGTTAATTTTAAATCATTTAATTAAATTGATTTTAAGGTCAGTTGGTCAAATACTTCAGTTATATAATTATGTAAATTTATATATTTGTGTTAATTTTCTAAAACTGATTTAGATTAATAATAACTTGTATCAGTTTTTTGTTAATGTTAGTCAAATTAATATTAGTATCAATTTTATAAAATTGATATTAATCAAGTTAGTATTAGTATTTATTTTTTTAATTGATATTAATCAAATTAGTATTAGTATCAATTGTTTTAATTGATGGTAATCAAGTTAGTAATAATATTATTTATTTGAACTGGTGTAAAATTATATATTTAGTACCAATTTTTAAGTAATTCTAAATAAATTATTTATTTTTCTGATATTTTATTAATGATGCAAAAAAAAAAATCGGTTAGGAAAAAAACAATATATGATCAACGTCTGCTTTCTACATAAGACTTTCCTTTAATTAACATCAACGACTGAACGACATATGAACTATCAAAATCTTTAGACCGCTAGAAGTAACTAAAAGCTTTGCCCACAGATGAAATTTAACGACATGATTCTTGATTGTGGGCGGATCCAAAAATTAATTTAGTGTGAGGCATACAGTGTAAACAAAAATTAAATTACGGGCACTAAATCAATTTTATACTAATTACTTAAGGGAAAATGAAAATTAGTATGGGGCACATGCCACACCCCACCCTTACCTGCGTCCGCCAATTTGTGGCACTGAGGCGATCTAAACCCAAAGTTAAGCCCTTTGTAGGATTGGACATGCATACTGCAACCAAAAATCAAGAATCTATTAGAGTTTATAAATATGTGGTATACTGTTATGTACACGCACTAAAAAAAACTGAATATCAAAAGTGCAGTAGTTACTATTTTTGTGTTTAGCCGGCCGTGTATATGTATGCTCCATATCAGCTTTGCTTAGTTGACATCCTTACCTACTACCTAGTTTGATTTTCTTATTTAGAGCCACGGAAAAACTATAGATAACATTTTTCTTACTTTAAGAAAATATCCAAAACAATTACGAAGTTTCTGAAGAAAAATATTGTCCATGGAGAATTTGAACAAGCGTGTGCAATGAGCCTTATCATTATTTTCTAATATGAATGCAAAAATAAATTATTTTTTTAGTATACTCTATTCAAACGATGTCCCATATAATTTCGAGATTTCTATGTATTTCTTTCTACCCACAAAAGTCGTCCACTGTAATCGAATTTTGTATATATGTAGTTTTTAACTTATTATAAGGTTCACAAACGCATATAAACTATCAGATATATCTATGAAGTTTTTACCAAATATATACAATAAATTTGAGTATTTGACTAGAACAATTTTGGCCCTCCACTCAAGTCATTCTCTAAACTCTATAAATACAATCACCCAGTCCTCATTTATCTTCATCTCTCTCCCTCAAAAGCACTTCAATAACCATTTAGACACGGATCTTATCTTTTAAAAGCCAATGGCTTCAAAGAACTCAGCCTCTCTTGCCCTTTTCTTTGCCCTCAACATCCTCTTTTTCACCTTTACTGGTGCAACTGATTGTGGCTGCAGCCCAAGTCCTAAGCCCAAGCGGGTTCCAAGTCCTAACCCTAGGCCGCTAGTGCCAAGTCCTTCAGTCCCAAGTCCTAACCCTAGGCCGCTGGTCCCAAGTCCTTCGGTGCCAAGTCCAAATCCTAGGCCACTGGTCCCAAGCCCTTCGGTCCCAAGTCCCAGTACCCCTGGCTCATCTGGAAACTGTCCTATAGATGCCCTCAGACTCGGTGCATGTGCAAACGTTCTAAGTGGTCTACTTAACGTGCAGTTGGGTCAGTCATCAGCTCAACCATGTTGCTCAGTCATCCAAGGCTTGGTTGATCTCGAGGCTGCGGTTTGTCTCTGCACTGCCCTTAGGGCTAACGTTCTAGGCATCAACCTTAACGTTCCTATATCTCTCAGTGTTCTTCTCAACGTCTGTAACAAGAACCTTCCTTCCGGCTTCCAATGCGCTTGAACCATATCAGATTTGCATAAAATGCACACACACAGTTTCCTTTTCAAAATATTTCGGTTTGAATAAATGAATGCCCGTTTATTGTTTAAGTAAGAGTTATTTATAAATTGTAAACGCTTTCCCGCGCATGTATGTGTTTATTGTAACTTTGTTAAGACAGTTAAATGAACGACTTTTCATAGTCAGTGTCTTATATTCATATATTTTCATTCGTATTTTGGGATATTCGGATTGTCACTAGAGGTATATCATACGATCACGATCATCTCGTGTGCTTGAGATCGTCAACATTTATTGACATCCTTGTCAGAAAAGTATTGATTTCACCAGGCCGAGAGGCGTGCTGATTAGCAATCAGAAAAAAAAAAAAAAAAAAAAAAAAAAAGACAGGTTTCGTAGTGAAAAAAAGAGCACGAGCAGTGAAAATGAGATACGTGTGTTAGAAGCAAGCGGCCGAATAAGAAGAAGAACTTAATGTTTTTTGGTTGATAGAATGGGAAAACTGAACTTGAACTTAAAAGGTAATCCTAACACAAAACAGAAATATACAATATTATCCCAATACAAAGGCATGCTTAAATCAATACAACAATAACACTCAAATCTCTCCATAAGTTGACATATCAGATTTTTTAATTTTTGAGAAGTTAACACATCAGCTATTTTACAAACCAATCAAATTAAAATATTAATACAACTCATCTACTTATTTTAATTTTTAAATTTAAACCCATTAAAAACCTAAATACATTTTTTGTTAATAATTTTTTTTATTTTCAAACAAATCAAAGCCCAAATAATAAATAAAAAAAAATATTTATTTTATTGTTTGTCAAATCCAAGCACAAATAATAAATAACAGCAAATAAAAAAAATATTTGTTTTTATTTTTTGCCAAACCCAAACCCAAATAATAATTAACAGCAAATAAATAAATAAAAATTTAGCTATTTCTTGGTTCGACAGAGACGTATAGGATTGAAAAAGTGTAGGCTCATCATCAACTATGTTTCCATAACAACAACGCAAAAAGCTTTATGTTATAAGAAGCTCACACATCAGCAAAAATTTGAACCAATAAAAATATAACAATAATACATATCATTAACACACTAATAAAATCAGTTTACTATTTTGCAGACCCATTAAAAAGCCTAAAAATTTACAAAAAAAATGAAAGTCGAAAGCAAATGAGGAAAAGCTCAGACCACCATAACTTGGAGATTCGCATTTCCAGTAGTTACTGAGAACAAATGTTCATGGGTTTAGCGGGAATAAGGAATTCATTGGTTTCGGTAGGAAAATATGATTTTCAGTTTAGCTAGGAAAACATAATTTCTTGGTTATGGTGAAAAAATAAATTATCGGGTTTGACGGAAAAATGTGAATTTTTGGTTTTAGTGAGAAAACAAAAAAAAATTGATTTTGACGCGAAAAAAAAATATTTTAGTTTTGACGAGAAAATGCGAGGGAAATGCAACTTTCCAGTTGACAAAAAAAAACGATTTCTTGGTTTTGATAGAAAATGCAAAATTTCGGTTTTTGATGGATAATATGATTTCTTGATTTTTGCGAGAAAAATGTGATTTCTTAGTTTTCGTGAGAAATTGTAATTTGACGATTTTAGCAGAAAATGCAATTTCTTAGTTTGATAGGAAAACAAAATTTCTCGATTTTGGAAGGAATAAGCAATTTCTCGGTTTTGATGGAAAATGCAAATTTTCTGTTTTTGACATATAATGTGATTTTTTTTTTCGCAGTAAAATGCGATTTTTTAGCTTTCGCAGAAAAGATAATGCAATTTTTGGTTTTCGTGAGAAATTGTAGTTTATCCGTTTTGGTAGGAAGGCCTGATTTTTGGTTTGATGGTTTTTTTTTGTGGGAATCGACGATTTCTCTGTTTTCATGGGAAAAAGTTTTTTTTGTCTTGGTGAAAAAACTTGATTTCTCTGTTTTGACGGAAAAACACAGATTCTTGCAGGAAAATGTGATTTTTTTGTTTTTGCGGGAAACTGCAATTTTTTTGTTTTAGTGTGAATATAAAATTTCAGGTTTGACGAGAAAATGAATGTTTTTGATTTTGGTGGAAATAGGTGAAATAATTTTTTTTTGTTTTGTCGGAAAGTGCGATTTTTCAAATTTTTAAAAAATTATAATTTGCTTTATATAATTTCAAATGAGGATCAAGTGACAATTTAGTAGAGATAACAAATTACATTTGCCATTAGTATAAATGTACTTAAAAATGTATTATTTTATTCTTACATATATATTTATAGATAGTTAGCTAAACAAATTTTATGGTTGATTATAATTTTGAAAAATAAAAAAAAAATTAAGAATATATAATGTTTATTCAGAATTAAAACACATAAATACATAACTTAAGCTAATAAAAAATAAATATAATACTCATTTACATTACAAAAATTATTTTATTATATTAAAAATATATACAAAATTTAAAAATAAATCTCACAGTGTAGCGCGGGTATATACCTAGTATAAGCAAAGGCGTTCGCAACGGCAAGCGCACATAATTTTGAAAAGGATATATACATGTTTTTTTTAAAAGGAAATGATTTAAAATAACAAGAAAATAATGTGAAATATAAACTCGTCTAGTAAAAAATTATAGAAATAAATCTTTTTCATAAATATTTTATAAATATCAGTGCTAACTATCTAATTATTTTGAGATGCATATTAATGGTAGAATATATGGAAACTACTACTCATACAATTGAAAGTAAATTATTAAATATAAAATAATTTCAGATTAAATACAATTAATAGTAAATTAATGGCAAATTAAAGGTATATTAGTAAACTCTTTTTACAATTTTTTATTAATGATCCTCTTTTGGCAATAAAGTTACCAAAGAAACTATATAAACAAATAATCCAAAAAATTAAAATAAATGAATATTATTGTAAACATAATATATAAAAATTTCTATATTTTTTTTATCAACGAAAATTTGATAAACACGCTTGTATATGTATATATATCATTCTTCTTCTTTTTTGTGTGGATAGTCTCAATTCCTAGATATATAGTTCTTCTATAAATTTAAATTTAAAATATTCGACAAGTTAAAATCAACAAATAAGCTTAATTTTAAGTCAAAATTGTAACTCTAAAAATTTTATTATAAAAGCAAACATAGAAATGTAAAATTTTAATTATGAATTATTAGTATAGGAATACATGTACAAGCGTGGTTATCAAATAATGTACGTTGAAAATTTACGAAGTTTTGATTTAGAGTTTTGAATTCAAATTCAAAAGTTTCATATTCAAGTTTTCTAGATATTAATATATTCAGTATTCTAAAAGTCGCTATTATAAAAATTATTATATATATACACACTTGAGTGATTATTAATTTATTGATTATTTGTAAATGAAAATAAAGCATATTTCTCGTAAACTTTATGTTTGATTTATAATTTTATATATAACAAATGCCTTATCATTGACGTTTAACATTAGTTACGACTTCTCCACTTGACATATCATTGACGTTTAAATTAGTCAAAAAGTATAGAATAGCTGCCCAATCAAAAGTATTTTGTGTATAATTAATTGTCAGTATATATAACCGTGTATATTTTCCTTGTTCTTCGCTTTTCTTTATGAAAATCCATACATTTTTTTATTGACTTTTAATCAACTCTATTTTTTGTCCTATCATTGCTGGATATATGATATTTTCTTAGGACAAAATGTTATTATTGACTTTTTCCGGCAAAACAACTATTATATTACGGGTCTTCTAAAATACGAGTATATTCACATCGTAGCTTCATGTTTGAGTTATGCGCAAAATCTGGATTCCTTTGTTTGCTATATGTGAGCATAGTTTCTCAAACTTAATTAGTTGATTTCTTATGTATAACAGTATTGGCTACATAGTACAGGTTCACTGGCCGGGAAAAGAAGTTTAATTTATCTGAAATCGATTCAACTCGGTTAAAAATATGTGCCAATTTGGAAAATGGCAAAAGCTGAAAGATGAATTATAGAAAATGATAATTGGTGAATGTCTAATTAGGTAAATAACTGTAAAACAATGTAAATATTTTGTGATATACAAATATATCTTTCATTTAAAGGTATTGGGAACATTTTGTTTTGTATATGCACGTCTAATTTATAAAATGGATTTCCAATAAAAATAATACCAGAAAATATGCTGATTGCGCTCATTACTATTTTCTTAATTTTCAGTCCAGTTGTTTTCATTGAGTGCATGGCCGGGTTCTAGAATTTTAATATGAATTCTCTGAGCATATTTGTTTATCATTAATTTTTCATTTTGTATATGTTGCGTTTTATCATTTTATGGTATCAATTTAAAAATTACCACTAAATATTTAGCTACACCAGAAAGAATGGAAATTTTAGCATATTAATAAAAAAATTGTAATTACTTTCTTAAGCGTATTGTTTATTAATATAATTAAATTTTAAGTTGTTAAAATTATTAATTAATAGGTATGTAAAAATGTTTTTTGTGGTTTTTCAAACAAAAACGTCTTTCCATCTCTTTTTTTTCTTTTTTTTTTATTAATAAAAATGCTGATGAAAATGTTCTACCATAATTTTGATTAGAAACATAAATATCTACTTGTTTTCTACTCAAAGTGTTTTACATTGATTTTCATTAGACAGATAAATGTCTACTTATATTCTTCTCCAGTAAAACATTTATATGAAGTTTTAACTTTCAAATGCAATAAAAAATCATTCAAATCGTTTAAAGTTCAAGAATCTCAAAAATAATGCAATCTTCTTATGTGCCAATTTTTTTTGTTAGATACGCACATTAAATAATTCGGTCGCAATTATCCACTTCATCACAAAGTGTTCTTTCAAACGAAGAAAGTCTACAGAATAAATAATAAAGAAAATAAATAGGTCATAAGTTTCACTTTCGCTTCTCTTTGTCTACGATTTTCATGAAAATGTGTGATTGGGATAATACAGTCATCGTCGGGTTGACTTTAATTGGAACCACTAATCAGTAGAATACAGATTTCCTGCTTCCATTTGGATCGTACAGCGTCAAGTTCTATGAAACTTCCAAATATATTAGTTACAAAAAAAACTTCCAAATATATTAGCCTACAGAAATGTTTACGTAAATCGATCCGTTCGCAAAAGTTGACAAAAAAAAGTCCGTTGGGGAAAAATTAATATCTGATCATCAACGTGTGCTGTCTACATAAAACTGTCCTTTAACACCAACGACATATGAACCATCAAAAGTCTTGAGACCGCTACAAGACATTAAAATATCTTTGCCCACGGATGATGAAACTGATCGTCGATCGAAATCAACATTATGGGACTGGCACTGAGGCGATCTAAACCCAAACATAAGCCCTTTGTAGGACTGGACATTCATACTGCAACCAAAATAAAAAAAACTATCTGAGTTTAATATATATGTGGTATGTTCAATGCACACACACACACACAAAAAACTGAATATTAAAATCGCAATACTTACCATTTTGTGTTTAGCCGGCCGTGATATCATCTAGATTTTACTAAATCATATCAGCTTTGCTTAGTTGACATCCCAACCTAGTTTTATTTTCTTCTCTGGAGATAATTTTTATTTAAAGCCACAGCAAAACGATAAATAAACAAAAAGTTCAAAAAAGAAAAGAAAAACGATAAATAACATTTCTCTTAATTTGCGAAAATATACATCCAACAATTTCGAAGTTTCTGAAGAAAAATGGCCATGGAGAACTTGTATAAATGCGCAATAAGCCATGACCAATATTTTCTAATCTGAGTGCAAAAATAATTTATTGTCTAAATTATAATCTATTCAAACGACGTCCCATATAATTTCGAGATTTTAATATGTTTCTACCCACAAGAGTTTGTACACTGTAATCGGGTTTTGTCTATATATAGTTTTAAACTTATTTACAAGATTGACAAACGCATATAAACTACCAGATATATGTATAAATATATTACCAAATATATACAATAAATTTGACTAGAACAATTTTGGCCCTCCTCTCAAGCTCTTCTCTAAACCCTATAAATACAATCACCCAGTCCACATTTATCTTCACCTCTCTCCCTCAAAAGCACTTAAATAACTATTAAGACACCCTCTTCAAAAGACAATGACTTCAAAGAACTCAGCCTCTCTTGCCCTTTTCTTTGCCCTCAACATCCTCTTTTTCACTTTTACTGGTGCAACTGATTGTGGCTGCAGACAGAGTCCTACCCCTAGGCGGGTCCCAATTCCTAACCCTAGGCCGCTAGTCCCAAGTCCTAACCCTAGGCCGCTGGTCCCAAGTCCTTCGGTGCCAAGTCCTAACCCTAGGCCACTGGTCCCAAACCCTTCGATTCCAAGCCCTTCCGTCCCAAGCCCATCCTTTCCAAGCCCTTCGGTCCCAAGTCCCAGCACCCCTGGCTCATCTGGAAACTGTCCTATAGATGCCCTCAGGCTCGGTGTATGCGCAAACGTCCTAAGTGGTCTACTTAACGTGCAATTAGGTCAGCCATCAGCTCAACCATGTTGCTCAGTCATCCAAGGTTTGGTTGATCTCGAAGCTGCGGTTTGTCTTTGCACTGCTCTCAGGGCTAATGTTCTCGGCATCAACCTTAATGTTCCTATATCTCTCAGTGTTCTTCTCAACGTTTGTAACAAGAATCTTCCTTCTGGTTTCCAATGCTCTTGAACGATATCAGTTATGTATAAAATGCGCAACCACAATTTCCTTTTTATAAACATATAGTTTGAATAAATGCATGCATGCACGCATGCATGTTAAGGGTTTGATGTTTAAATCTTTTATATAAGTCAGAGTTATTTATACTTCTTTGTAAAAGCTTTTTCAAGCATGTATGTTTTTGTTTTAACATTTGCATATACTTTTCAATTTTATTTATAGGCCAGAAAATATGCTGATTGCACGTAATTCCAGGCCAAATTGACAAAAGAACGTGAAACAAATATTCAACCAATGTAATAAAATGCTTTTGTCCAGTGGTTTCACGGGAATGTACCACTACGGCACTACGTAACGTATCACGGGAGCGTACTCTTGGCAGATGCAGTTTTTCATCTACCTATTATATATATACTTCTATTCCATCTTAAAATTCTCTTTATAAGTATTTGTAAGATGAAAATAAAGCCAAACTCAAATCTTGAAAATTAACCTGACTACACACTTCTCGAACAGACCAAGGTTTGAATATCACATACTATTAAACTTGGTACAAAATAATAGCAGTGTCCAAATAAGACATTTACTTTCATAAGCATGGTTACCAACAATGTTTAGATTTCAAGAAGCTTAGATTTGTATGGTTCAAGAAAAAAAGAAAAAGAAGAAGCTTAGATTTAGAGTTTCAAATTGTTTGATTTAAAAATCAAATAATTAAGTTCAAGATTTTACTTTATGATGTTTTTAATACCAAAAACAATTAATAGAACTATGTAATATTTCCATTTCCATTTTTTTATAATTACTAAACCTTTTTATAAAATCTCTAACATAACAAGAACAAGCCATTTCAACGAATTATTGATTGCCATCGTCTGCGAGTCTCCAAATCTGTTTTGGCATGTGGATCCCATTCTCATCCGACAACCAGCATGATGTTTCAGGAGATTCGAAAGAATTAATTCCAGTCCCTGTAGATCAGCACAAGATCTTTTATTGTATTTTTTGTTCACTTACATAGTACTGAAAATCACTTTCCAAAAGGTTAATTTTCCATCCTGAAATTACTAAAGCTTAAACATGTTCCACCTTAAAGTTCTGACAAGATAAGTTACAAAAAAAAAAAGGTGCAATTTTGTAATACAGAGAGTGAAATTAATTCTTGTTAATTTTCTTCATACACCATCATTTTTTTCAAATAGTAACCGCCGTATAACAATCACCCTACTTACATAAGACGATGTGAGCCCACGTGATTATACACTTGTATAAATCTGGCTCTAATACCACTTGTAACGTCTCTACGTCATCGTGCGTTTGGTTCTGATATCAATTATAACATTCCGTTATCATTATCTGTGAGCTTCACACTTTATTTGGTTGGTGGATTTTCACTCTTTTTTTAACGGTGTGTTATTCCGAAAAGTTCGAAAGAGTTGTTTACCGACAATACAAATCACCATGAGATTTTTCTCAAAAAAAAAAAAAAAAAATCACCATGAGATTTTTTCTTATATTTTGTGCTTAGTCATACTGTATTGGAAATCACTTTTTAAAATACATCCACTATAATATTGCTTTAGCTACTTAAACATGCTTAAACCTAGAGTTTTGACATGACGAGTTACGAAAAATAAAAATATATATAGTGATATAAGTAAACAAATTTATTTTTCTAAGTGTTCCTATTAACCGAAATATTAAACTTCTCCGTTAAAAGGAAAAATAATATCTAATAAAATAATCAGATAAATAAGTAAGAACTATAAAATAATACATAATAAAAGGTCAGACGTCTTCCAGCAAATTCCTTACTGGATTAAATCGTAAGGATGTTAACGTTCCCTATCTAGTACGTTTCCTTTTAGTGTTACGTGGTTTTATCTCTACTTATGGAAAATACGGCTCAAGTTTTTGCAGACGACAATGTTGTATACAAGTGTCATGTTTCCCGGAATCAGTCATTTTAGATTTGATATGATAAAGATATTTCAATTAGACGGTTTTGAGGTATGATTATGTATGTCCGATTGGGAAAAATAATCAGGATTATGACATATATTTCTATCCAGTAAAAATCAGTTTCTACACAGCTTGTAAATATTGAAAGATCAACACACACACTCATATATATATATATATATATATATATATATATATGTAGTCTCGGTTAATTTTGGTTTGTAATTCCGGTTTGTCTCGGCCGATCTCTTAACCGAGATTTTGGACGTTTAAGTTTCTTTTTTGTAGTATGTTTATTGGTATGATTCATGATTTTAAAGTTGTAGTCGGTTTAGACCAATTGGACGATTAGTTGTTTTATGCAAAAAATCAATTGGAAGAAAAAATTAGAATGAGACAAGTTGACATCCAATGATCCAAATATAAGTTTAAGATATTTTTCGACGACTTTTGGGTTTCTATTTTTTTGTTTTTTTCTCCGGTTGATCTATGATATCATTCCCATTAGGAAATGTAATTGTGTACCCAAACAACGGATCCATATAACATACAAAAACACTCCGTAACACATGAGATTCAAATATACGTAGTTACGACGGAACCATGCAGGATATTAATGTCCCTCTAATTTACATATATTAGGATAAAAAAGAAATGAAAATATCTGAGTCTGAAGTAAAATAACTACGAGCCAAAGAGACTGTGAATAAATGTGCAATGGGGTCATGAACTCATGATGATGATAGTAACAGTAGTGATCACAAGTTGACAATAATACAAAAATGAATGAAAAAAATCAAAAACAAAAATTATCTTTAAAATTTTTTAAAAAAAAATCGACGTTCCAATTATTTTTGAGGTTAGATTCTACGTATCTACAAAGGGGAGGGAAACGAGTCAGATTTTGTATATGTAGTGTGTAGATAAACGCAGATAAAAGATAGGATATTTTTCTAGAATGTCAAATATACATATATAATAAATTAATTATACTAAAACAAGTTGGTCCTCTTCACATCCTTGTAGAACCCTATAAATACCCACACCTTCCCTTCATTTTTCTTCATCTCTCTCTCTCTCTCTCAAACACACTCAGTAATCTATCTTTTGAGAAAAACAATGGCTTCAAAGAACTCCGCCTCTCTAGCTCTTTTCTTTGCACTCAACATCCTCTTTTTCACCTTAACCGCTGCAACAAATTGTGGCTGCAGCCCAAGTCCTAAGCCGAAGCCGAGCCCAAGTCCTAAGCCTAAGCCGGTCCCAAGTCCTAAGCCACCCATGCATGTCCCAACTCCATCGGTCCCAACTCCGTCGGTCCCAAGTCCTAACCCTACGCCGGCAACACCTCCGAGCACCCCTGGCTCATCCGGAAACTGTCCCATAGATGTCCTCAAGCTCGGTGTATGTGGAAATGTCCTAAGCGGCCTACTCAACATACAGTTAGGTCAGCCATCATCTCAACAATGTTGCTCGTTAGTCCAAGGTTTGGCTGATCTTGAGGCTGCGGTTTGTCTCTGCACTGCTCTTAGGGCTAACGTTCTCGGAATAAACCTTAACGTTCCGATATCTCTCAGCGTTCTTCTCAACAAGTGTAACAAGCAGGTTCCATCTGGTTTCGAATGCACTTGAATCAGCCGTGCATATATACGACGACGCACACAGTTTCCTCTTCAAAAAATTTATATATAGTTTGAATAAATGCATGCAAGCTTAAGTTCAATGTTTAAATATTATTATTTTTTAAGTGATATAATAAGTGTGAGAGTTTTATAGTTTTTTTCTGTTTTTTGTAAACGTTCCCCATCTTTGGTGCTTGTAAGCTTCTGTAGCCATCCATTTATATTTTCAACCCGTTTAATGAAAAGATTTTGTAACCAACGTCTTATTTTCAATTACTTTAATTTGGATGATATATTGTTACAATCTTCAGATTAGCATAATTCATGTTATAGTATGTTTTTACTCATTCGGGAGTTGATTTCTACTAGAAAACTCTTGATCACTAGTTTATAATAAAGATGTATTTATTAATCATCCTAAAATCGTATTTATAACATAGCCCTTTCTCCAAAAGTGTGGTGTATATTAGGGAATATTCCACATCAAAATTTGGAAGAGATCTTAAGTAATATATAAAGGAGATGGTCAGTCTTCTCATTGCTATCCAACATCCGAAGTTGGAAATGAACTTAAGCTAGTAATATATTAAGAACATATAGGTCAATCTATTCATTGCCAATTGGTTTTGAATTGAAAATTCATGAATCTTAATATAGTATTAAAACCCAATCCACGTAACAATTCAATCCGATCCGATTCATAATCTGACCCAAAGTTAGTCTATCGATCATTGTCCATATATTTACAAGATCAATAGCTATAGTAGTCATCGTTTCGAAGGATCGTATTAGAGAATATATCTCATATCGAAAGTTAGAAAAGATTTTAAATAATATATAAGGAGATATGGATCACGTCACCCATTGCGGATTAGTTTTGAGTTGGAAGTGCAAAAAACTTAACAGTGTATAGTTGAACAACATAATCATGTTATACTGAGAGAGAACAGCTCATTTGTTGATAATTCCGATCATTAAAACTACTTATGTTCGTGGTGATCTACAAAATACTAGGCTATATAGTCAAACGTTTTGTGAGACAATGAGAGATCTCCAATCCATAAGCTTATTAATGGAGAGGAAGCATTTTTACTCACTTTCATCAGCTTTATGTGTGCTTCAATTCAATCAATTTTTGGTTTCAATCTTGTATCTCAATTTCATTTTTTTTGTTGGTTTTTTAGTGGTATTAGTTTTACCTCCTAATGTTTTGGATTTCTGTTTCTAGGATTTTCATTACTTTGTGAAATCTTTAGAAAGAGATGTATTTCACTATGTATCACATCGGTTTGAACAGCCATACAAAAGGAAAGTTCATGTTCGGGTTGTAGCTTGTAAGACTCGTGAAGATGTGAATGTGAATTTCTTAATGCTCAATGACAGAAGTTAATTGACGTATGTGGGGACGGACCCTGAGGAATTTGGAAGTATATTAAAACTACTAATAAAATTATATATTCAAATCTCTACTTATTAAAATGTTTGATATCACTAATAAAATACAATAATTAACATGTCACAAAATATGACCTTAGAATTTTACTTCTTATCTCGTTTTAAGATTTAGATTAATTAGGGCATCTATATATGATAGCTAAATTTTATATACAAATTACAGAACAACATTTTGTAAAGGCCAAAACAACATTTTAGTAAAAGCAATATTATTTTTTAAAAAATATAATTAATATATATATATATGTTTCTTTGATCTAAAGATATTTTAATAAATATATAAATTTTAATATTATTCATACAAATTCCATTTTTATTTAATATATATATATAAACAAAAATGAATATGCAATTTAAAACTATTTCGAAGACCTTAGTTGCCACCTTGATGGAAAGATAACTGGTTCAAATATCTAGAAATCAAAATGAAATTGAAGTGTACTTACTCGTGTGAGCTAGGTACTAAAATCTTTAAAAAATTAGTATTAGATAGCTGCCCAATCAAAATTATGTATCCTCTTTAACAATTGTCTTTTCATATGTATATATATTATAGGTCTACTTGACTTTGTTAATTTATCTTGCTCTTTGTTTCTTTAGAAGAAGTTTGAAATAAAAAATTTTGTTATAGGTTTTTAACTATTTTGTGGTCCTAGTATCGTTGAAAACATGATATTTCTTTGAGGACAAATGTTTTTATTGACTTTATATATGAAAGAGTAAACCAGCTTTTTTGAAGGAAGATCAATGATTTGCGTTACCTTAATTGTCTAACAGACGAGCACGTTCACATCGTAATTTCACATGTTTGCGTTTTTGTCAATAATATAGATTCGTTTGTTTGTAAATTATATACGGAATCATTATAATATTAGTTGCATATCCTGAGAACTATAATATTTACCGTGAAAATGGATTAAGTTGTGTTATTGCACTGTTAAAGATGAGTTTTGTGTATGTTGTTAATTCAAATGAATTAATCGAATGAACTTTAAGCGAAAATATAAGGGAATAATTGAACTGATGAAACATTCTTTTGTCTATAATTTTTTCATTATTAACTTAGTAAATAATGAATACAAATCCTAATGATTCTTTTGTACAAGTCCAAACAAACCAAAAGATACAACAAAAAATAGGAAATAGAGCACTATATGTTTTCCTTCTAGTAAACAGTAATTGGAAAGAGCATGTGATTTTAAATCACTTTGAACAACACAGTCTACTCACAAAGTTAGCATCAGGATTTGTGTATACTAACGATTTACTTAGATGATTGTTTTTATAGTCGAGGGGTATATCTAGTTTATAATCAGTTTTTTAGTTCCTAAGTCAATCGACAAAACAAAATAGTTGCTAAGTTTTACCTAATTAAATTCATCCAAATATATATAAATATTTAGGTTTTTCAACTCGAACCCCGCTTAGAAAAAATATCGATTTTTTCCCAGGTGGATGGATTATAGTCTTATAGATCGGTTTCTAGCTAGACAAGTATGTTAGAATATTAATCTAATGCAAGTCTCATTTTAGAAGTTTAGATAAATATAGACTAATATTTTTGGGCAGACAACATCACACTAATAGATAATTGAACATCGACACTTGAAAAGAGGTAAAACACAAGTCGTACTCTGGCCAAGTGGTTGAACTACGGATCCAAAGAGTATTGGGACGTCTTCGCTAACCAAAAAAGTTTCACATGCATTTGTTTCTCTTCGTCTATACTCTATAATATTCAAGAAAATGTGCGATTGGGATAAATCTAGTCGTCATCGTTGGGTTGACTTCAGTTAGAACCACTAATATCAATCAGTAGAATACATATTTTCTGCTTACATTTGGACCGCACAAATTCAATTCATAAGAAATATATGATAAGTCTATAAAAATATATTTTACGTAAGTCATTGTACGTAAAAGAAAACAAAATTATGGTCGTCAACGTCTACATAAAAAGATCCTTCCTTAGTAATGACCAATTAAAAGAAGACAATACTTTAACATCAACGAGACATGGACTAGTAAGCTTGAGATGTCCCATTACTAATTTTTGGCCGACAACAAACACGTCATTGAGTTTTTAAATCAAAGATATGCATGTAAATAAGGATCGGAATCCGAATTCGTAATGTTTTGACTTAATGTAAAACAGTGATACAAGTTGAAATAACAAGAACGCGAGACAAGATGATGTATGGTTTGAAATTTCAACAACTTAAATCGTATTTTTCAGACTTGTTTAGTTATCTACTTACTTAGAAACTTAAATTAAACTAAATGTTTGGTAAACCAAGCTGGAGTACGTACCAGAACTTACATAATATTTAATATTATTACTACAGGCATTACCAATTCATACTGCGTGGAATACAGAAAATAAAGAAAAAAACAAAAATGGCTTTTCACACTAGAAAACACTGCAAATAAAGTGGAGAAAGCGAGCCAAAACTTCACTGTTTAATCTTACTTACATGACGTCAAACACAGCTATTTCACTCGTCATTGGCCAATCTCTAAAATATCCAAAATCCACATATAAGATAATCTGTATTGTAGATTTCTTTGGAAGTTTTTCATCATAAAATATTAATAAAATTGGAGATTAAGGAAAGAGAGAACGAAGAAAGTCTCTCAAATGAGCGACTCATGAGAGAGTTATGAGAGACTCGTTTTATATATGAGTCTTTATATTATTGGTTTAAATTTTAATTATTATTTAAAATTAAATAATAAAATTAAATAGTATAAAAAATTATATATATATAGTTAGAAAAAACTCTTTCCAGTGGAGCTGTCAACCTCAGCAATTTTATTTTTATTTTTTGAGTTTTTTATTTTGGATTTTCACATAATATTAACTTGTGTAAATTTATTTTTATGTAGGTTTTATGGACTTTTTAAGATATTCACTTAAAGAAAATTATTAATTTTGCAAAACCCAAAAGCTGTATAGTCTCTATAAAAAAAAGTATGCTAATTGAAATAAGAAACAAATAGGATGTAGAAATAGAAATTGAAATCAAACAAATATGGAAGAACTTGCATAGAATAGTTATTGAATTTTAAAAAAAATATTCAGGAAAATATATGCAGAAACCTAAAATAAAATCATTCCTATCTATTTTACGTTGTAAAATGAATAAATATTTTTCATTAATAAAATACTAAAGTTTTATTGTAAAAAAATGAAGACTAAAGTTTAAAATCATGTAGCATAAACATAAACTTGATCTATACAAAAGGAAAAAAAATTCTTAGGACCATTGTGCTTGAGAATGAATTATAAAAAGTTTATCTCCAATAAAGCTATCTAGTTCAGCAATTGTTTATTTTCTTTATGGGCTTCTACATATTGTGATCTTTCTTTTTAATAAGCTTCTATATATTTTAGGTATATATTTTTTAGGCCTTCATATAAAATAAATTTAAAAGTAAAAAAAACAACTACTTATTTCACGAATCACAGAAACTAAAAAAAAATATTAAATAAAAATTTAAAATATTAATTAGAATAAAAAAAAAACAAATGTAGAAAAAAAAATTGGAAGGCAAACAAATACAACATATGACATAAAAACTTGCAAAGGATAATTATCAAACTTTAAAAACAAAATTGAGAAGCTTTATATATAAAACTAAAGTAAAATTATTTATATAAAATAAATACTTATTTTACAAATCATAAAAACTACAAATTCTCTACAAAATAAAAATAAATCAATATGTTATTTCAAATATAAACAAAGAGAATGTAGAAAAAAAGTTGGAATGCAAATAAATACGAAAGATGACGAAAGAACTTGCAGAGTTATCAAACTTAAAAAAAAAACCGAAAAGATTTATACATAAAAGTAAAGTAAAATTATTCATATCTATTTTATTATAAAAATAAATAGAAGTTTTATATGAATAAAGAAGACTAAAGTGTTTAATTATATGGCATGAAATGAACTTGATATATACAAAGAGCAAAAAAGTTAATAAAAACATGATTATTTGTGTTTTAGAATGAGTTAAAATTTTCCAAAATTTATGAAAAATGAAGAAGTAATTCAGTTTAAAGCATTGAGATTTTCGATTTTGCCGAAAATAAGCAATGTAAAAAAAGTAAAAACCAATTGAATATAATTATATATGTAGTAGAAAACTTAAATACTTATAACAGTATATAAATATGGATAAAGTTTTTAAATAATTAGCATATGTTAATAAATTTATAATATATCTATATATTTTAGGACAAAAATAATAAAAATAATTTAATTAAAAAATAAAAAAATATAACTATAAAATAAAATAAAAATAAACATAATAATAAAATAAATATGTAAAACTGTAATATACAAAAATAAATTAACAAATAACTCCTCGCAACGTGCGGATTAAAACCTAGTATTATTAAAAATTGATAAAAGACTCTTGTTGAGAGACTTACCACTAATGTTAATAAAGACATGTAATTAGCGGGACTAAACGAACCTGTTATTTACAAATGAGCTCGTTTAGATCATTTATAAAGAACTGTTATTTAGAAGAAAATAATGTTTTAGGTTTTTTACACATATAAAAAATATAAAGTTTTGTTTTAAAACCTTTTTTATTAATTATTACTTAAGACTTTATTTAAATAAAAATTTAAAAGGGTAAATTATGCATAAAATAACATCTAAAATTTTGAAAATATTTAATTTTCAAAAGTAATTTTATTTTCAAAACATCTAGTTAGAAATACAGTAAAACTTCTATAAAGTAATACTCGGTTCATTAATATCTTAATATATTAATATTTTTAGTCAATTTCAAAATTAATTTATCAACCAAATATTATATCTATAAATTAATAATCATTATAAATTAATAATTTTTTTATAATCTTTCAAGGTTTCATTATTATTAATTTACAGAAGTTTTACTATAGCGAGTAAACATCAACAGGGCATCCCTTTTAGATCTGTTTATTAAACAAAATTGTTTTACTCGTTTAGAATGTTTTACTTTTAAATTGGTAAGTGGTAAAGATTATTTTTGTTAGGAATTGCTTAAGAGTCTTTTCGATGTTTAAGTGGGCTAGTAGTGGTTAAGCGTAGGATTAGTTTTGTTGCGCTCCTAATTCGGGTTTCGGTGGATAGGAGATTTTAAACTCTCCCTTATACCCAGCCCAAAGATACTATGGGCTATGGCCCAAAATTTCTTAGAAACATAAAAAAAAAAAAAGGTGAAGAGGAGTTAACCGAGGGATCGTCGAGTGCTGAGCGGGCTGCGGGCATAGATATTCTGTTAGACTCGGTGTCAAGATTGTTCTTGGGCCGTCAGTATTCATAACAATGAACCATTTATTCATTGAGATAGTTTTTGGGTTGTTTGGACTGATTCTCGTGTGTGAGATCAAGAGCTAGTCTTCAAGCTGTTACCCATTGGGCTTATATTTTTCGGATCCATCACTAATACAAGCAGGATTCATATCAAACATCCATTTTTTTCTGAGAGATCAATGTTTCTTCTGCTCAAAACGGCTACCACCGAACAATTAAAAGCAAAGTTCTTGACCATGGGAGATTTCAATCGATTCCTCCTTTGGTATTGAAACTAGATACATATAGATCACAAATGAATATTTGTCCAAATGTTGGACCCACACTACATTTTCTCTCAGTGACCTTTACAGTGAGTTGAGTTTCTTCTATAAACTCTTTTCTTTTTAAGAACCCTCTTGAAGATATCATAAACATCATTACCCAAAAACAAAACAAAAAACAAAAAAAAAAAGAATATATCATCATCTTTCATATTCCTCTTTCGATCTCCAGAGTTCTCGATAAACAGAAAACTCAAACCGAAAGAGAATCTCTGTTCCTCCATGGAGCTCAAGTTCCTCCATAGCCCTGAAACATAACAATATTTAGATCCCCAAATGTATCCCTAATCTTAAACTAATTTATAGACGTATCAACCAAATTAGAGCAAAGCGATAATTGATACAACCAAATCTATAATATACCTGTAATGAAGCTGAAGAAACTTAAGCGGAATCTGTAACCTCTTCTGTGAACTCGCCAAATATGTTTGGACAATCATCCCAACTCAGCTCTTCTCTTGCTTCCCAATAACCGCCTGTATACTTGTAGCCTTCACTCTCTCCTTGTGGCTCGAACCATCTCGGTCTCCACCCGCTTTCTTGAAGCTTCCGTGACTGCATAATCCATAAAAGCAATTTACAGTTCCTCAAACCATAGAAGAAGAGAGAAAAAACATCCCTTTGAGATTCGCTTTTACCATTCTTTGCCTTCTCTCTAATCGTTGTTTCTCTTCATTTGCCTTCTCATATTCACCATTCTCCAAGTGCCGTTGATCTGGTCGGAGCCTAGAATCTGTCGGAGGAAGCTTCTCCTAAACCCAAATGAACAAAAATTACAATAAGATCAGATAGCTTACAAAACAAATTTTTAGTAGAAACAAAACCGAAAGCAGCATGTTTACCTCCAAACCAGGAGTCAATTCATTTAGCGTGATTGCGAATGATGTTAAGTTGTATCTAGTGACATTAGGTGGTGGCTTTATTGATTTCCACATCAACGAGGCGCTCGCCTTGTTAAGCCCATCACCAGCTACATAGTAAAGGCTATCATCCCATTTACCAAAAACCGTCGCGGCTTGTTTCCCGCTTACATCTTCTACAAAGCCATTAACCTATATGGATTTGATTATAAAGTTATTTCAAGACTCATAAATGGAAATCAGTTCACAAGTGTGTATCTATGTGAACTTCACCTGGTGGGGATTTCTATCGAGAATTGATTGCTCCTTGAACTTGAGCGTACAAGAATGTTGGCGATTCCCACGGATCTGCATTGTCCCATGGTGATCACAGTACAGTTTACCAAGTAGGATATTGTATATAGTTGTCGTAACCTAAAAACAAAGATAAGCATTATAGTTATCAGTCTCAGGGCCAGAACTAAAATATGGAAAAGGCCAGGAGATTTTTGGTTTTGTATTATACATACTTTGCTCCACTGGAATGTCTCCCCATCATCGAACTCAAGAGTCAAAACTCCGACGGGTTCCAGTTGAATCGATCTCCCCCAAAACTTCGACCGGAGATTTGTGTCACCCCAGAACTTCCATCCTTTACCTTCGCAATGGCAGGCAATAACTGTTGGATGGTGGCTTACCTATTATGAGCACAATACACCAAAAATTATATGCCAAAACGTCTTAGGAAAAGATTCTCACATTTTTCTTTCTCCATGTGTTTCAATTTTTTCAAAGCGGATATGAGTGTCAATTACAAGCAAATTAACACGTTTCGCGTACTAAGAGCTGCTCCTGAATCAGAGAGCTTCAGCACGTCACCGTTTTGTGTTTTATTGGCCATTAGGTGTCAGAGAAATTGACATTTATGATCATCTCATCAAAGTATGTGTGAGATTACCTTCTCAGAGAAGAAACGAATTCCCTTTTCAGGAAAGTCGGCTTCATAAGTTTCTCCAAGCAAAGGGTTGAAAGGTTTACAGTGCCGGCCTTCAGTGGAAGCATAACCAGAGACTGCAAAAGCAGCAACATACAGGGCTCTGAGGAGACTGTTCCCCTGATGATGAAAAACTCTGTTAATCCAACAAGCTGATAGGTCAATTCAAGATAAAAACATAAGTACAGACAAGATATCAAATTACACAAGATCATAGAAGGGATGTATTTAAACACTTTGTAATGGGAAAGAAACACGAGTATAGAGTAGAGAAAACGTTTTCATTTCCAGAGGAAAGCAAAATAAACATATTAGTCTGCAAATTATACAACATAACTCAAAGTAGTTTAAATCACTTACGGATTTTCCGTATTCATATGCTTGGTCCAGGAGATAAGAGTACTCCAAGTCTTCAAAACACTTTTGGAGAGAGGATATTGGTTCGTTGAAATAAACAGGAAGACAAACTCGTGTGAGATCCTTTCCAACATTGTCTTTAATCATAGACCAGAGACTAACACCTCTCTCTTTCTCTGCTGGGTCAGGCAGTCTTGTTCGCCTCTTGAAATGCATGTGCCCCGAACCAACATCAGGTTCGCTAAAATAATCCTTTGTGTCATGGAAGGAAGGCCCATCTTCCTCAGAGATGTCCTCGAACTCTTGTTTCTCATCAGATGAAGCACTTGTACTGCATTCTAGAAACTAAACAATGTCAAGTTAAACAACACAGGAAGCTCTTGCAAATCCAGTTAAGCTATCATTAAGGAAGCAAATAACAGATTATCGTATGAGAAAAAATTGTTCCCTTCTGCGGTTAAAGAGATCATATGCAGCCTTTTTGGTGGGAATGTAATGAATTGAAGAACAACTAAGCAGCAGAAATTGTCTGTACCACTATATTTTCCGCGTCTTGAGCTAGAATACTTGTGTTTTGGTAATTGATAGACACTGTCATGGATCCCTGAGGCTTCAGCTTCAAGGTTAGCCATCTGTACACAAAGACACTCCCACTTTAGGATAACCAGAATGGAAATAGCATTTCGCAAGATTCACAAAGATCATCACATGACATTCAAGTTTTTGACGCAGATTGTACATTATGACTTGACATAGGTTTATGAAGTTCAAAAATTATCAATTAAGTGGAAAAATGTCCTCATGAAAGGTGGTAAGAGAAAGTAAAAAGTGACATCCAAATAACTTTCCCACTAGCAAGATACATAAACAATGTAGCTAGCATGGTTTGTGCATATGCTCAGGTGCTACCAATCCAAATGTACCGTAAAAGCTGTTGAATAGTAAGTTACTAAAACAATGTGCAAGATCAACATTAAACAACTCAACCAAACCAATACAATCATTAAATAAAAGCATGTATTCAGCTTTACCTCCAGTTCCTTCAATGCGCCAAGTAACTTTGTCCGTTCCTCGTGGAGAAGTTTAATTTGTTCTTGAACTTCGGAGAACTCTGAATCCACTATCTCTTCACACTCTTTTACAAGACTCTCGTTTATTCCCTCTTCACGTAATCGTTTCGTTAGCCTCTCGGTAGATATTGATAAATCCTTTGGTGATACGAAGGAGAAATCCCCACTAAGTGACTGGAGAGGTAAGATACCTCTGGTGGATGCTAAAGCGTGTAACCATGCTGCTCTATCACTTCTTGAATCAGTCCTCAGATGAAGAGTCTTGCTTGCAGTAAATATATAAAACTTTCTATTGTCAGATTTGCTTTCTCTGTAAGATGAAACCTGCTGGAAAATAAAAGAATGGAATTATATTCATCTAATTACCGGCTCTGGCCCTAAAACCAGGAAGTCGTATTCAATCAACAAACGGAGATCAAATTAAAAGCTCTCATATCAATCAACAATCACAGGTTCCATGTTCCAACTAACAAATTATAACCAAACACACAAGAATTTGATTACCTGTAAGAACAAGACTCAACGCTTATGTCTAGATAAGGTTTGAAGTTTTAGATTATGCAAATATAACTATGGCAAGTTAACAAAAAAGTATGCCTTGAAATACCCAAGATGTGGTTTGTAGTTCCCACAAACACAGCCACGCTTCATAATTTCCTACCGACTAGTCATACCTACCATTCACCAATCATGTTGAGACTCCATTGAAAAAGTATATATATATATAACTAAAACCACTGGTCAATGAGCCATGAAATCATACACATCGGTTATTGACCTAAGGATAAGATGGGAAACGAAACAGAAAATCATATGTTTGAATAGGCGTTGCCAAGACAAATTAAAAGAAAAGCCAAATTCTCCATTGTTGACACATTTCTCCATTGTTGCCTTTTGTACAGTAGAAACCAAATTCTAACGGATGGAAATTGTGCTAATGAGTTAATGGTGTTCAACGAATTGGGACCCTAGTCCTGTAATACTAGATTGTAGTAGCACCAGCCAAAAAGAGTTTTTGTAATTTGGTTATTTGGTTTTTCTGTAATGAGCTTTTGAACTTTGACACCAGATAAAACCTGTTGATGTGGCCCACTACAGGTAAGCAGCAACTTAAAAGCTTTATAGAAGAAACCAAAGAGGTTCTCTTAAATCTTGGCTATAATCGAAACAAGAAATGAAAAAGCATAGAGACAAAATACAGAAGTACAAGCAAATGAGAGAGGAAGAAGAAGAAGAAGAAGACGATACTATGTCAGAGAAATCACATTTAGGGTTTTAGCCTATTTCACTAACAAACACGATGAAATTTTCCAGAAGCCAATTGGTTCTTTGCTCTATTCGAATCACCTTAAAAGTCAATTCTAAAAATGGAGAACACAAATCAATCAATCATGAAAATGGAGAACAGAAATCAATCAATCATGAAAAAAAAACAATCAAGCTATTGCTATATTTAAACTCAATCTCAAGATTTGAATTGATAGAACTATGAATGCATACCTTGAGATGAACAATGCCGATGGTTTTATGGTGTTTCCGACGGCCACGGCCGCTACAGCTAACCATCCTCGAGAGACGATCGGTAGAATTATCTCCGATCAGTCTCACATCGTCGGAAGGAGATAAAGAATTTACATTCTCCGGCCGCCGGATCTTGGAGTAGGACAAGATTCCATCGCGGAGGAGGAACCACCTGGATCTCCACCCTTTTCCGTAATTAGTCCACTTGTAGAGAATCCCAGCCACCGATCTCCCCGATGCAAGTTTCTCCCGATCGGATCCACCGTTCTCCGTTATCCCATCCGTCGCCGGAAGACTCTTCGACCTAGTCAAAGGCATCGCCGCCGACTTATGAGAAATCTCCCTAATCCCGTTGCAGCTATTTTAACAGAATCGCGAAACAGAGCACATTACTCCGAATCTGCGATAAGCAGATGAAGATCTTAGACAAAGTGATAGATCAAGCCTGCGCAATTTGGGGCTAATCCAATAGAAAGAAGATGAATTCTAGATTTTTTTTTCCAGAGAATCAGAGAAATTGAATGTGAGAGAGAGAGAGAGAGATTGCGTAAAACTTGAAGGAAACTAGACTGGGACTTTATATATGAAGTCTTTATGCGCATATATACATTATTATAATTGAATTTAGTAAGGTTTTTTAAGATTATATAATTAATGATAATAGTTGTCTCTTAAAAAAATTGATCATATAATAAATAGTGAAAGATTCGACAACTGTTTTCATACAGTTAATAGTGATAATTTTATTTAACAAATAGAGAAAATCAAATTGTTTTTAAACATTTAGATTTGTTCTTGTCCTTTGTGTAAGTCATCAGCTCACGGATTCTACTTGTTCAAGAATCGGATGATATTCTAATTGCAAAACAAAGATGGAAAATAAATTTCTAGAAAAGGATAAATAATTTGGGAAACAGTACCCAAATTTATGTTAATTCACATAATAAAAGCAACTGGTTTCATACTGCTTTTTATATATATATATATATATATATTCTTCAATGTGGTGGCCCTTCTTCTAGCTTAAGTATTGTTAGTATCAATCACATGTCTAATCTTTTTGTTCGCTAATACTATATAAATCATTAGGGTATAATTTTTGTTGGTCTAACAAAAAGTCTTTCTTATAGATCCCAATATATAGGACAATCAAGTGTTGCTCAAAACGATAAAAAAAAATTAATCAATTTTCTTTCTATATCTGAATCCATAATTAGCAAAAAATTAACTACTATGTAACGTGATGAGATTGAGATTACAATCCCGAGATTACAATCCCATTAACTTAGGAGGAGAACACACTATGCCAGTTCTATCTTTGACCAAGTCAATGTTAATTTACTCCACCGTTTAAAAGATCTTATCTTCAAAGTTCTTGAAGACACTCGTCCACGATCAAATGGTAGCTTTAAGTTTGTGCTAATTCTATCTTTTAGAGATAAAGATTCTTCACCAAACATCGAGATTCTGTCGGAATCTCCATTATGGCCATCTCCACCTCGATCCTTCTGCTCGACTGGTTTGCCTTCTTCGCCATCTTTGTCTTCTTGCTCCAAGTTTCTGATCGTTCATCCCAATATTGCAGCATTTTCTTCACATCTTCGTGTAGCTCATTTCGAAAAGCAACAAACTCCTTCTTCATGGCTGCATGTAGAACCGACATTGATGGGTACTATGTTATCATAGACACGACTTCGATTATATATCCAACCTCGTCCATATACTCATCACTTGAAAACTTTGTTTTCCATTTTTTCTTTTCCAAATTAACTATATTCATTCAAGTTTGTTTTCCATTTTTTCTTTTCCAAATTAACTATATTCATTCAACTTGATATGCAAGCAAATCTATGAATACTTTGTATATATAATATAGTATTATGACCATATGTTATCTCTATTTCATGTTATGAGTTCAGTTGCATTTTTTCGTTCGATAGCCAACTACACTCGCCAATTGTTTTGTCTATGTCATGCCATTACACTCGCCATATTTTCCATTATCGAACACTCGTAGCTCATTATTTGTGTTTTCGTTCTTGTACGGTGACGTGGTGTCGTTACGACACTGTCGCTAATTTAAAACATGTTTATGCAATCAGGCAACGGCAAGAACCACTTGTGAGCTACAATCTGGGTCTTTTGAGGTAGGAGCTGATGCAATTAGGCGATGGTGCAACAAAACAATTAATTAAAACGTGATTGATCTCGTGAACTATAAGTTTATGCAATCAGGCAACGGCAAGAACCACTTGTGAGCTAAGTGGGGTTGCAAGAAACTTGAAGCGTGCATGGCATGAGTAAAAGCTGGCATGGACAAAATGAAGATTCAAAGTTGTAAAAGTTGTATCAAGTCGAAGATCCAGAGAGATTCTTCTCAGTTATTTAAAAGAAATATGATTATATTCTTAATTAATGGAGATTTGGAAATATCCGAAATTGAATTGGATCCAAGGCTAACGAATGTGATCGCTAAAGGGGAAGCCGCTTAACACTCTGGAGAATTTTTTGAGACACATATTTTAAATTTGATATTGAAATTGAGGATTCAATTTGAAGGGTTTTGGTGTGTAGATTAGGTGTCTGAATTGGTAATCTGAGAGGTGTCTCAAAGCCGGTTTCAGATTCGTTGGTGTTCGATTGATATATATATACATGCTAGCGTTTGAATGTAATACTATCAAAATGAATACTCAATATAATTTTCAAAATACATATAAAATTAGTATAGAAATGGATATTTAATCAATTGTTAAAAGGCATCAAATTAATATAAAATTATATACTACTTTTGTTGATCCAAATCATGTGGATTTTTTTTCCAACTTAATGGCTTCCATGTACTGTTTAATTAGATACTACTTTTGTTTATCCAAATAATGTGATAATATAGATAATATAATATGAGATATTGTTGACTGGTCCGCCTCATACGAAATGCTGTTTCTGTTGTGTATTAAGAGATGTTCAAATATTTTGCATATATATTATAAGTATATAATTCTTGTTTTTAAAATTTATTATCGATCTGTTTATTATTTATGTAAACAAAAACACAACTCAAGTATTCAACCGGTAATCAAACAATTTGCTGAGTACAAATAATCAGAGATAATAAAAGCTAACTAATGTTACATATGAAAACATCATATAATTTGGAATTAAAAAAATTCTTGAAACATCAATTATTCTAAAACAGAGGAAGTAACTTTCTAGATAAAATAGTCATATAATTTTTCCAAGACAATATGCATATTTATTCTCCAGCTATCAAATATGCGAATTAATTCTGCCTTGATGCCGCAAATTTAAACCTGAAAAAGTCAATTTAAACAGTACATGGAAGCCATTAAGTTTTGTTACAAAAACACCTTGGTGTATTTCTTTCAAACCATCTTTTTCCAAATTGAAACTAGAACCCAATTGATTTTCGATAGTGGGCGAGACGAATTCCAAGTGACATCATGAAAAACATGAATCCGAACTTATTTTTTGACAAATGACTCAGACCAGTTTTCCGGCGATATTTCCGGTGAACACAATTACCGAAATAATTGGATTATGGATTTTTTGGATTTCTTATAATAAGTACTATAAGATAATGTATTTATTTGTCAAAAATAAAGTTGATTTAAATGAGAAATTTTTGGTCAAATAGGCATGTAATCAATACAAAAAGTCAACAAATGTCAAGATGAGCATTTGTCCCATATGGAAAGTTGGAAGAATTTTCCACTACTATATATAGTGACACACTCTCAACAAGGTTCGCTAGCCTTTAGAAGAGGACACTATGGAGAATGAAAGAAAATGCTGTTATGCAAAACCACACACACGTGTGCGCGCGCCGTGTCGAGCCGGGCTTAGGTTTTGGATCTTGGTGAATGTGGGTTTTAGCCCACAATAAAATGTTCTTTTGGGAGTAAATATTTATTAACTTATTTTCACAAATATGTTAATATTCCTTAAAGATAATTTGCATAACTCGATAAATCTTTATGATTGGGTCGAAAATTAATAACAAAATATTTCTGTTTTGCCTAGGTCCTTATCAGTAAGGAATAAAAGATTTATAGAATATATTTCCGTTTCTATTATTCTTTGCGATCAAGGAATAGAAGATTTCAGAATATTTCTGTTTATCTATGAGTGGCGGCCAAGGCAAACCCTTGCGCCCCAATCCTTCCATCCGCTATATATATTCGCCTCTCTCATTCATTATTCTTAATCAGCGAAATATATAGCTTTCGAAAACACAATATCCAGCAAAATTCATCTCGTCTCTACAGTCTTAGGTGAGTCTCGAGAGTATAGCGTAGATTCTTAAGTTCGCAGATTCTATAGTCGAGTGCTACGACTTTAGTTTCAACACGGTTATATCCTGGGATTCTGAATCTCATCAAACCGCCACACTGCGGGAAGTTTAAAAAATTAAGGAAAGAAATCATATCTCGACTCCGTGTATTGTCTGTCCTTAAAGGTTTTATTGAATCGTTTTATACTATATTATTATTTATATAAATTTCAATTGTTTTTAAATTCGTGATTTTTAATTTAAATTTTCGCGGTCTTACAAACATAGGAATGATACCCTGAGCTTGTGAGATGACACCATTCGTCTGCACCATTTATATAATAGGTAGTTCACATAAGCATTGGAGTGGTCAGATAAATTAAGAAAGTCTAGTTTTATGTATTATACAGCGGTAGAGTCTTAACGACAAAATGACCAACAAATTCACCAATTCCCTTAGAACCTATAAAACTGATATTAATATGAAACCTCCAAAACCCAATTCAGTACAAATTTCAAAGTTTTCAGACGCTATTTAGTACACAATTGTGTCACACAGAATTAATAGTAGCATCGACTCAAGTTACATATGAATAAATAAATAAAAATGGAAGCTTGCGTCTTTTTTTTAGTCATGGTTCTAAGTTTACGTTTTTTTTATTTGTTTTATTAAAAAGTTAGATTTTAAATTCATATTTTAGTTTTTCAGATATTTGTTTTGGTAAACATGTTTCAGATATATTATCAGATAATATTTTAGATATTTTAAATCACATTCATAACTATTGATTTTTAATATGAATGTTGACATTAATACTTGTTATAAAATATTGATCTAGTATGTATTAAGACAAAAACAAAAAAAATATGTGCTGGAGTGTACAAATCTTAAAGTTGTCGCTTCATGTTATTGCAACTTGAAATGCGACATTTTTGTCTTATCGTGCATAAACAATTTTTAATAGTGACGTATTACCTGTCGCACCCTTTTATATGATTTCCAGTATATTATTGTTTTTACTTT